ATTTTGGAAAATTCTTATACTTTAGTCCTTCCTCACTTAGAAATCAAAAAATATTAAACAAACTGACAGTAAATCTAGTATTAGAACAAAATCGAAATCAGCTATACTAAAATGAAAGACGAAAACCAAAAAAAAAAAATCCAAAAGAGAACAAGAAATCAAATCTTTCGGAAAAAACAGAAGAAAGCAAGAAAGGAAAAACAAACATTATTCTTCTTCGCCTTTTCTTTCAATTGTCCTTTTTTTCTTTTTTTACTGAATTTTTTTTTTTTCTCTGATTTTCTTCCTTGTTCTTGGTAAACCATTTGTCCATTTACTTGTGTAACAATAAATTTTCTCTTTCTGGTCACAGTTTTTTTTTCTTGCTGCGATATTTTTGCTTTTCTTTCAGTTTTGCTTGCTTCTCTGATTCCTTTTTGGAACGGTCAATTCATTTTTTTTTCTTTTTTCTTTTTTCGTTGTAGAAGTGCCCAAAGAAACCTGGTGAATTTTGTATCCTATTTCATATATTTCTATAAATATATGTTTTTTGTGTATGTGTGTACTACCGAATGCGTGTTAAAATGATATATTTTTTTTGAATTGAGACCTCCTGCGGTGTGTGTGAATTTATTTTAAAGGACATTATTTATAATCAAAATAAGCTACAAAATTATATATGAAAAGAATTAATGGAAAAAGTTAGAAGTTAGTTAGATTTTGATAAACTCATGGGCACCCTAAATTTCATCAGTTTGACACCTAGAATTTGTGGGGGATTTTTTTTTGCTGTTTTTTATATTCTTCATATTATTATTGTTGTTTTTGTTTGCTTTTGATTTTTTCTTGTTATTCTGCTGTACTAAAGAAAAGTTTCATGACCTTTTATTGTTAAAAATTAAAGAAAATAAGGACGAAGGTTAATCGTAAAAGGAAATAAGGGTAGTAGTACTTGTTATTGTTCTTGTTGTTGTAAGATTGAGAACAACTTTTTATTGGACGACTTTGTAATAAGTAAGACCGTTGTTATTTTAAATAAATTCGAGTACATTTTATTAACAACATTTTCGAATTTTTTTTAATAAGAAATTTAATTTTGTGTACTTTAATTTTGTTGGGTTAAAGTAAAGGGCAAAGTTTTTTCCTATAATTTTAAAATTCTTAAAGACATAAATTTTGGTATGAAAATATTTCACATCACTCGCTAAAAATCGCTCAAAATGAATAAATTGTCTTTAGTCATATAGTTTTGATTTTAACCAATGGCTTAATGATTACCAAAATTAATGCGAGAAGTGACATAAGGCTTTTGCTGAGTGATAATTATCATAAAGCATGAGCAATTGCTCAACTATACGATATTTTTTTCGAGTCAACTAAATTCTAATATTTTTCATTTCACCTTTAAAAATTCCCATTATATTTATGAAATTTACCCATTTATAGCAAATTCAATTCTATATTAACTTCTTAAAACAAAATTTAACAAAGTATTAAAAATTTTATCAACAAACACATATTTTCTTATAACTTTCAAATTTGAGTGATTTTTTTAAAAAATTTGGGTGAATATTAATAATGAACTACGCTGCATAAAATGTTCAAGTACAAAAGTATTTAATATTTGTTAGCTCTTCTCTTTTCCTAATTTTAAAATAGCAATTACTCCCTAAATTTAATATTACATAACATTTTATTTTGATTCTACACCTTACTCTCTTCTTATATATTCGATAAACCACTTAATTTCAATGTTTATTTCGCAATATATTTCACCGAGACATAGACTGTGCGGAGCTGGAATAAAAATAGAATTTTCAATATGCGAACTCTCCTACACATTCTGCTGTTAACAAGAAACAAAATCGCTCTACTTAAGTTACAATTATTTAAAAAATATCAGGATTAAATTTTTTTTCGTCAAAAATCATTAATTGAAAAAATGGAATAAAAATTTCGATGAAATTTGAACTGTTCTATTCAAATGTTTTGAATTTTAGTTTGAGTAATTCATGTTTTGCAGTAAAATTCCATATTTATGGGATGAAAATTTTAGATCAATAAAAATTTGAATAAGAAATAAAAACTCCAAAAAATTGAATTTCAAAAAATTTTGATTTAGATTAAAATTTTCAAAATTCCAAAGAATAAGAATACATATTGCAATTTTGGCTACTTTTATTCTGTTGTCCACCCTTGCCTTAAGTTTTCTGTTGGGGGAAGTAGCTTGAGTGTTCAAACCAGATTGCTGTTGGGGGAAATAGCTGAAATTCTCATTGTAATATGCTGTACTTAAGCTTTTCCAAATGAGAGTAGAACTTTTTAAATAATAATCAAGATAAATGAGAAATTTCAAATGAAAATTGTTTAGAATTTCCGGAAGAAGCCACCATCCAGGGAGCTATTTCATTTCAAAAACTTCCGAGGAAGAATATTGTTTGTTACATTTTAAATTTGAGGAAAACTTATTTGATACGTATAAACGATTCCATATTATTGAAGACAATATTTGAAGTAAATCAAAAATATTCTTAAAAATTTAAATAAAATTTTTAAAACTTTTCTATACAAAAAAAATGAAATTTTCATCTTAAATTCTTTATTATACATAATTTTTATTGAAAATATCACCTTGACTGTTTATGTGAAACTTTTATAAGATTTCCACATTATTACACCTGTAACTTGTATAACTTGTAACATTTTTTTGTTCAAAAATATTGTTTTATATACCTTAAAGGGAAAAATAAGTAAACATTTGAGAACATTTAAAAAAAAAAGGAATTGTGCGTAAAATAAAATTTACCTATAAAATTCTAAGGTATCTCCATAGATTTCCTTCGAAAAAACAACAAAAAACACACGGTGTGGAAGATGAAATTGTTTTTTTTTTTTTCATTTTTTCTGTTATTTTTTGGGAAAAAAAACCCTTAAAGAAAATATAAATAAATCAACATTTTACTTGATTTTACTTCATTTTTACTCTACAAATTTAAATCATCAGAATAGAAATGAAAATTTAATATTAAATTACTAAAAAAAAAAATTCGAGTCGCAAATTTTGGTAAATAATATGTTGAAATCTTATTCCAAATAAGTTAGTGACGCTATAAATTAAACAGAAATCTAAGCAGATTTTACTTCAAAGCACTTTCTTCAGGAAATTTGGAAGTTAAGCAATTAGTGCTGTTTTCTACATTTAGAATATGATTTTGTTTTGGACGAAACTAAATAGCTGATAGTAGACTATCTTTTCGGAAAAGCTTTGAAATTAGAAATGATCTTTTGTTGATATAGACATTCATGATACCAAAGCACTGATTTTTATCTATTAGTTGGCTTAATTCCACTTACTGTAGAGAGCCATAATCGGGATTGTTTTGAAAATTTTTTTGATAACCGCTTTTTTATATTTCGCTCCTAGATCACCACACAATACATTAGGGCAAATTAAAGATTAAAGTGCACCATTTTACCAAAATTCACAATCCATTATATTGTACGACTTCTAAATTATCCTATATATGAAAATTTTTATATATGTAGGAAACTCTGATTCCAATATTTCTCATAAATTTCTATTTAATTTTTTTATTATTCTCTATCACTGCTTGAATCAACACCTTCTCATACAAGCATTTTCTTTAATTCAATTCCGAATATCATCAAATCTGTTGAATTTAACTTTAATTGTACCTAACTTTCCCCTCAAGACAATTTAAAATTTAATTAATACATTGAAAACTTCTAAAAATCTTTCCTTCAACTCTTAATTTTCATGAAAAATTTTAAGAATTTAATATTTTTTTTTTTCATTTAAGAATTCGTAAAATATTCTCTTCTAGACTAAATTCATTTTTCAAAAAAAAAAAAAATATATCAGTTCTTTAGATCCGTTCTTTAATGCTATTAAATATTCCCGTTACATTTATTGCTCTATTTTATGAAATTCCACCTCCCTGTTGAAAATTGATAAAAATAAAGCGTAAAATAGAGAAAAAGTTTCAAAACAAAAAACATATAAGAAAGAGAAAAAAAAATATAAGGGAGATAAATATAAGAATAAAAACATTCTCAGATGAGAACATAACTGCACATTATTTTCAACTTATAACTGTTTTTGTTTTGCTATCGTTAAACAATTTTCCTATGTTTTTCTTTTATTATTTGCTTATCATTTTTTTTTTTGTTTATCCCTCTTCCGTTTTATTTCCGTTCAACTTTTCTTTCTTTATCCAGCTTTTTATTTTATGTTTGCTAAGTAAGTGTGAAATAAAGAGAAAAAAAACAAAACAAACATTAAACTAACAATAAGCAGAGACAACAGCATGAATGAATTAAGCTGAAGAATGAATACTACCTAGCTAATGAACAGTAGCGTAACAGTAAAATATTAAATCACCATATGGTGAATTATTTTTCTAATTTCAGTAAGATTTCAAAGAATTTTCCACATTTTCTGGCTAAATCGTAAGAGAAGAAAATCATATAATAAAATTGTAGAAATCTATTAGGTAACGGTGTTTTAAAAAAAATTACTTTGTATGAAAATTGTGTAAATCTCGATATGCATTTTCAGACGAAACTATAGGGGATAGAGGCTTCTTAAATAAATTTTTGAACAATCAAATAAGGAGATTGGCGACACTATTTAACATTATAAACGTTAAAAAACTACTTTATTAAGCTGGAAGCTTGCTCTCAAATTTTAGACTTTTCCTATACCAATACTTTGTTTTACAGCTTTTGATACTGAAATACACCCCTGATCGCTACTTTCAGTCCACAAATAGATCAAAATCGTAGATATCACTGAAGAAATTAGAAACTTATGTTTGTTTCTTTGTTTATTATACTTCTCTTTTGTTTTCATTGTGTCATCACACTTCTGTGATAAAAGCAGACTTAAAAATAACAAAAAGTGAAATAAAAATAAAAAAAGTTTTGTTTTTCTTTTTTATCTTATATTTGAAATCTTTGCAGAAACAGAAAAAAGGCAAAAAAAAATCGTGTGAAAATAACCGAATTGTATGAAAATGAAAAAGAGATTGATTTTTTTTTCTGCTTTTATCGTATTATTCTTATACTTTGTTTGAAAAACAGTTATTTATTGTACTTTAAAGAAATGAAGAATATATAAGTAAGTATGAAATCAAAAATGCAAAATAAGTGAAAAAACCAAAATGTTGAAGAGATTTAAAAAGATATAGAAAAAAGAGAACAAAATAATAAAAAATTTCATTTCTCTTCGATTCGAAGAGGCGATAGTGTTATTTAATGGTGGAAAATTGAATAAAAACTCAAATAAAAACGAAAACAAGCACATTAAAATAAAGTCAATATGAATTTTTTTTAACCAAAATATACAACTATTATAGTGAAAATAATGTTATTGTTGAAATTTAAATAAAATGTGGTAACAATATTGTAACAGTGATTTTCCTTTTGTTTTGAATTGCAAATACATACACGAAAAGAAATGGTAAAAAAAATTGAATAAAAAATATTTTTATTTTCGGAATTCAATCAATATAGAAATTCAAATTTAAAATATTCCGATTCAAATTATAATTAAACACATAGTTTAAAACAGAAGAATATTGAATTTCATATATGAAAACAAAACAATTAAATTTTTTATGTGTAAGGTTATTGCCTTCTATGTTGAATCTGTGGCAACACTACAATAAATCATAATGAAAAAATTAGATATACGTATGAAAACATTTTTATTTATAAGTGTTTTTACTCTTATTTTCATATTTAATGGCAACAATTATGAAAATTGTAATACAAGGAAATTTTTCATAACAGCAACGATTATTAGTGATAACGGAAACGTAAACAATGATGAAAATGATGGTAAGTTTTATTTTTATAATATTTATAATATTTAATTGTAAAAAATGTGCTAAATGCCTATTTTTGAACATTATGTTAAGTTTTTATTAAGTTACGATTAAAATTAAAACTTCAACACCTTATGGAAAATTGAAAAACTGTTATTAAAATAAAAATTGTAGAATTTCTAAAAGGCAACTTATTCCCGCAAACAATTATAAAGAAGCGGAAACAGTCTCCATTAAACACAACGAGAGCTCTGGATCCATTTTCAAGTAAATAAAGCTCTACAAACTGAGCCAGGAATTACATATTTGGGGATGTAATACACCATAAGAATAGTCTTCTATATTTGTCTCAGTATGTGGCCGAAAGATTTCCTTCTTAATAAATCTGTTGGACACAATTTTTCAAAATAGATAGACAAACTATATAGAGCTTTGAGAATATATAAGACCTACACTTTGGCATTAAATGTATTATTTGCATATTGTTCCATAATATCCAGCTTGTTTAAATTAAAAAAATTACCCTCTTATTATGTTACCTTTAAAATTTTATACCGAGTAAAGGTGGACAATGGAAATATGAAAACTTTTATCACATGATATATAAAGGCCGGCCTGTGAAAAATAGCATTGTTTTCCAATTTTTTAAATATTTTTTGTTATTTTTGTTACCAGTATCGTATCAAAAATCAATTGTGAATTTTCTAAATAAATATTTTAAAGCACTGTTTGTATTTATTTATCTTTTTGCAGATAATTTAATTTTTATTACAATTTTAAATAGATAATATTATCCTTTGGGAGAATTATTTTTGCGCCCCCAAACATTATAAATACACTAATAAAACAATGTAATAAAAAATCTATACTCTATATACACCAAATAAGTATTCAAAAACCATTAATAACCATTATCTATTATAGCTTTATGATTTAATTTAAAATATTTTAATATGAGAATGTAAGCGTGCAACGGCTTTACGCCAAAATATTTCACATATCAATGACTACATTTAAATAACTCATAATAGAACCCATTATAATTTCACGAGGAAGTAAATTATATTTTAGTATTAATAAAAAAATAAAATAGAGAAATTATTTCCTATTACAATTTCGTTAACATGATTATAGATTAAAGAATACTATAAAATATTTAAACTGTTATAAAATATTATTGATATAATATAAAAATGGTCATGTTGAAAATTGTACAAACTCAAAAGCAGAATATTGCAGAATTAAAAAAATATTATGAAAATTAATTCTCTTTAATCCTAATTAAATTTTATAACGAAATTTTATTTTAAAATACTCTTTACATTACACGTTATTATGTAGTACAATACACACTCAATTATGTAATACACATATATTAATAATTATGTAGCATATTTTTAATAACCGTAATGTAAGTAGATATAGTATTTAGGATATTATTTTTAACAGAATATAATATATTATAGGTATAAGTTGTATGTTTATTATTCCATTATAATTAAATATTTAAAAAATATTAAATATAATACGAATATTATTAGTGGAATCTACGGGGTACCTTTTTCTACATAATTTTGATTTTAGTCTCTTCTTTCTTTTCTTCTTTTTTATTTACAAGTCTTGTAAATTCAGAATTTTCTGTCGATTCTTCCAAATAATACCTCCGAGATATGTTGAAATAGAAATAGCTTTAGCTGGTTCTATCTTAACTTCTTTACTTAGGTTTTTCGCTTAAGTTATTAAAGAGGTGAGATAGTTAAACTCCATCACTTAATCGATACTCTTATTGCTCACAGTATGTTTGATTCTAAGGAAATATTTGGATATCGTCATTGATTGTGTTTTACTAGTTGACATAATCATGTTGAACACAGAGGCATCTTTTTAAAACGAGTACGCGTGTCGTTGCGGATCATCTTTGTTGTCTGATGCCTGTACTGCGTCATCGGCATAGCAGATCACTTTCAGTTTGAGATCACTAATTTTATAGCCACATCCCGCTACATTCATAGTGTTTATAATATGATGCATAACAATGTTAAATAATATTGGACTAATAATAACTACAGCCGCTATATTTGAATTAATTTAATGTGATGTGGTTGAATATTTTTCAACCGCTTGTCTCAGAATAAATATTGCAGCAGTTAGGGACCTCTTAATTCTAAAGTCCTGTCGTTTTTATACTAGACCTGTATGTGCAATTTTATAAGGAACTATTTTTGTAAATAATTTCTGCATGCTCTATAAAATGATTCTCCTATAGTTTTGCAGTATACTTTTGTCACCTTTTTAAATATAGGGATAGAGATACTGCTCTTTCATCAAGTTGTTCTCCGTTATTGTTATTTAGTTGTTATATTGAAGCCGGATGTTTTCTTTTTACCAGATTGGCCAATCTTGCGATCATTCTGCCAAGTCTTATGCAGGTTCTTTGTATCCCTTCCAGCGACTTCAGCTGATGTAATTATGTTACTGAAGTTGGCATACGTCTATTTAGGATTGTACTTATTTTTCAGTTGAAACGGAATACGTAATACATGCGTTTTAATAAAATTTTAGTAAATGCTAGTGGTAAATCAAGCGTACTATATGAACACTATGGCATTTACAGGAACTTCATTAAAAATCAAATAGTGTGTATATTCCTTGTTAAGCCAGTTAGTTATATGCAGACTGAAATGTAAGGATAACATTTTTGTATGTACAATATTGAAATATTGAACGGCATAAAATTTTTGTATTAATTTTTGATATTAACGTATGTACGTACATACATACATATATAATCAATGATTTATGTACCTACACTAAATTTAAATATTTGCAATTTAGCACTTTTTTTTTAAATTATGTATTTTTTTTTTTTCAACTATGTTTTTACATAATTATTTATTTTTATTTATCCCTGTTTTATATGCTAATTTGAACATCGAATTAATTGAGTGGAAAAAATAAATGTTTATCTTTTTTAATATGAAATTTTATAGTTTTTTGTTACTTTTCTTTTTTTTTTTTGAATAAGCTTTTAAAATATAGTAATTACTCAATAAAAAACAAAAAAAAACAAAATAATAACTTGTTTTAATATCCTAATATTTTTTGATATACCGATAACTATAATTAATTATAATTTATATTTGTAAAGTCAAACAACAAATAAATTAACTTTTCATCGATAATTTAGTGTGCATAAGAACAAAAAATATTAGATTTTGTCATTAAAAAATGTGACTTTATAAAAATTGAACAAAATCGATTAGTATTTGACAAAGGTCATTATCAAAATTATTTAAATTTTACCCACTAGAGTTTAATCCCAAATTTAAAGGTCTTTAATAAGATTATTGTTATTTAGCTTCTCTATTGCATAAAATTGTTGTACTTCATCCTTTTTTAATCACAGATATCATCCAAAATATTCTAAAAAATTAAAAAAAAAGAACAAATTATAATAAATTACGTTTTTCTATAGGCAAAATATACATACATATATGAAATTATTGTCTTTTATTGAAATTTGAACTTAATAAAAATTTTTCCTTGTATTGTTTTTAATTTTGCCTTTTATTGGACTGAACAGTTAACAAGACGTGTGTTAACCTATTTAAATATATACCTTACTGTCGCATCTTATACTGTTACTGTTCATAATAAAATTCATCTTTGAATTGAATGCAATTAAATGTTCTGATAAATAATCTGGTCCAGTTGTAACTATAGAATATACACGGATTTATTTTTAAAATTTTTCAAGTACCGTAGTTCGATATATGCATGATACATACCTACATATTGCTATATTTAATTTATTTTTATAAGATATTTAGTAAAAAGTGTCACATAACCAATTAATTGAAAATTGTGCAATGCACCCACAATCGTTTTTAACCATTGAATTATTAGTTTTTTTTTTTCATACTCGAATAATCACATGTGCCAATACCTATGATATATGTGCATGTTTATATGCATTTCCTTTGCTTTCTTTATTTAATCGTTTAAAATAATAAGTGGTTTTTTAACATTATTTTACATTTATAGTAATAAAATTCAAAAATTTATGTTTCACTACCCCATTCGGATATTTCTTTGTCTTAATCACGAGTGTTATTTTTTTATTAATGGAATGTGTTGATCTCCAACTGTTTTTATTTCCTCTTCGGTTTTTATATAAAAAATTTAATTCTTCTATGTATCATTGTAGATTGTACATTGTCGCATATGCACCGCTAATCATGAAGCGAATCTGTTGTGACTTTAAACCATTTATTACTTCTAACGCACTGTTTCAAAATCCATCCATCTGATAAATTCGAGTAGTACTTTGGAATTCAGGTTGGGTTCAATAATGTCTCACAACTCCGTTTTTGCTTAAACGTAACTGTCTAGACTTCTTTCTTCTGTAAATCAATATCACCATAAGTATCTTCAGTTCCCTCGTAAAATTTGCAAATGCCAACGCTTTCCAATTTCCTCAGACTACCTCTATGTAATCCAAATTGCCCTGAAACATATTCGATTTTTTAGTTTGTTTTTTAATTGATTACCATGAGAATGTAAAATCATTTTAAATGTCATAAGATAACGAAATTTAAAAAAACAAAAAAATAAGGATATTACATTAATATAAAAAAAAACAAATGAAAATCCTGTACAAAATATTTTGATTGGAAATTTGATTTATGTATATACATACATATTATTTATGTACGTACATTATACACAACAAATGCACTTCTGCATGTATTTTGTTCCTCATATTTATGCAAATACGGAACCATTTATAGTTTGTACTGCATATATGGTACTTCATCTACCCACGTATATGCTTACAATATAAAAAAGTAATTCACTTACATATAAAAAACATCTAAATGAAAAGCAAATTCATGCATTCATTGGGAGGGTTTTCAATATCCGAAGGGTTCAAAGAGATCGAAAAATTACAGTACAATGTAATATAAAGATTTTATTTTTTTTTTGGTTCCTTATACATATATTTGTTTTACATCAACATCAAAAACCAACGCTTTTACTCTATTTATATGACCAATTGGAATTTTTAAAAAGACAAATAAACAAAAATTTAAAATAACAAATAAACTTTTTAGTTTCGTTTATATGCCCCAATATATTTTAATTAAAAACAAAAAAAAACTATTTTGAGATTATAGAGATAGGTACTGGAAACAAATCTAATACGAACAGCACATAACCGATCGTATTGTTAGTGTTAAATCAGATTATGTAAATCTTCTTTTAAATTGTATAAAAGCTAGAAAATCTTTAAGTTAATGTACTTACCTACCTATAAAGACATTAATTTCGCTCATAATGGATCATTTTCAATAATCCGATAATTTAGTTCAAAACTTGAATTAAAATATTAAATTTCAACAAATCCATTAATCAGTTCCTTAACAAAAGTTTTGTTTCCGAGCCTTGATGCTTCCGAACTTACTCATTGTTTTTTAAACAGAATTCAAATATCAAGATGAATTTAAACTCGGCCTATAGTAAAAACCCGTCACTTCCAAAACACAGTATAAAAAGTTTTAATATAATTTAGTTTTGAAAGTCTTCTCCTTCCTGAAACCTGATATACGTATCACGAAAGACAAAAGTTAATAAAACCTTCACATCACCAAAATATATCCAATACGAATTACCATCAAAAATTGTTGAGTCGAACTTTGAATACAGGAGTCGAGACTGGCAGACGGAAATTTTTCCGCTGAAAACTCGACATGCAAAATTTGGTGCTATTATATGACCTCTCTTATTATAAAACGACGTGCTAGGTAACATTAAAAATATCAAAAAACAAAGCGGTGTTAAAAATTTTTTTACATTGAATTGAATTTCATTGATGTTATTGGCGGCAATTGCAAATATTACAGTTATTCATTTGTATTTTGTTTTATAAAATATAAAAAATATGTTATATACAAATATTTATTTACATACTTACATACATTCATATTCAATTACACTTTGTGTGAAATAAAAAAGTGGTAGATTTTGTTTCTTGCTCCTCAATTTTAAAATTCACTTGTTTATTTAAAGCTTTGCTTCACATTGTACCTATTTTTCATATTATCTAACGATTAATTTCGTCTGCACAATATAATAAAAAACACTAAAAAAGATAAAATGGGTAATGAAAGTTTTTATTCTAAAAGAATATGAAATATAAATATGAAATTGAAATATAGAATTAATTGAAATAATGTTGCCAAACTTTATTTGAAAAGCACGAAAGAAGTTTTAACAAAAAAGCTTTTCGTCTAAAAATATTTAAATTTTAAAAGGAAAAACTATTGATTTATCCGATAGTGGTAAATGCGATAGTAGATAGTGATATTCATTCATTTGTTTGAAGAACATTCATTCGATAGTAAACCTTTTAAAAAATTATTGAAGCAGACGCGCATACGCACAATACAAATTTCACAGGTTATATAAAGAGCATAAAGAACGAAGGGATCAAAATTGCCTCCATAATGACTCTTTTAAAAACTTTACTAACAAAGAATGTTTTCACTTTTTAACTCAGAGGAGATTCAGATTTGTCAAAAAAAGAAATTAATTTTGAATGAAAAAATTTATTGTGCACCATTTATTTTCCATCATTTATTTGATGTATATCGTAGAGAGCTCCATATTATTATTATAAACTCAAACCAATTATTACAAATTAGTCTTGTTTTATAAAAAGAGTTGTGAATCTTTTAAAATAAATATCACTATCATCACGTATCAGTCAGACTATGTGACACTGTAAGCTCTATTACCCTAAACATTATTTCTTCAGCATTCAATAATTGCTCTATTAACAGTATTTATTACAATTATGCTGTCAACATTATCCATTACAATGTTACTCACTTTCGATTTTATTAAAAGGCTTTATATGCATGGGATTGAAAAACTAAATACATAATATGTCCCTATTTACAGAACAGTTATAAAATTAATACTTACAATATCTACATTATGTTGTATTTGCATATAAAAAAGGAATGAATTTTGAAATTTATTTGAAATTATTGTTAAATCAAATGTTACAAAAATATCAATAAAAAAATTTAAATATTATTTTAGATAAACATTTTATACAATGTAAATATTTAAAAAAAAAGTAGCGTTTGCAAATCAGATAAAGAACAAATACAACGCGAATGTAAACATATTATGTATGTGTAATTTATAAGAAACTTTTTGTATTTTATATGTGCGAATGATCAAATGTGTACTGTTATATTTGACAATTTGCAAAAACATTTTAAAAAATAATACAATAAAATGAAAAACAAAATTGCAAATTCTGATTTTGCAAACTACGACGCAATAGATTTTTACAATAGGCTTCCCCTCTTTACTCATTTAGTTGTATAGCAAAGTTTTTAAATATGTCATATGGATTTTAATGTAAATTTACCTTAATTTATTAGAAAATTTTTAAAGAATATGCCCTTTTTCTTAACACCAAAAATTAAATGTAAGAAAAATAATAGATATGTATTTAAAATGCTTAACGAGAAAAATTCTACTGCCTACAGCCAAAAGATGCCACATTTATCTGTCAAATAAATTTTTACTTACATTAAGCATTTTCGTCCAATGTTTGTTTTTAACTTCAGAGAGCGTTAAGCGCTCCAAGCTAAAAACTTTATTTCTTTTTACTATCAGAGAATTTTTCACACTTTACATACTGGAGAACAATTTTTTAGAATTTGCTTATTATTTTGGAAGTTCAAATTTCAAAAATAATTAAATGTCAGAATAAGCTCCACCATGTTTGTTTTTAAAATCTGATCATATAAGAATATTTTTTTATCTGATCAGAGCGATCTCTGACAACTCTGAATCTGATCAGATGATGGACAAAAACTTCCATTACAAAACTTAAGGTGAATCCATGGTTCGTCGTTCAGCCGCAAGCTGATTTATATTATGTGAAAATTTGAAATTTTGAAATTCTCTTTATATTAAGTATATTTTTTTTTTCTCTCTCTCAAAAATTTAACTTCTTCAACTTTAGTGCGGAGGTTTTTTCTAATCGTCACAAATATGAATTTTCACGGAATTTATAAAATTAAAAAGAATATTTATTTAAATCATTCTTGCCTGTAAAATTTTCCATTCAAATAATTAATATGGTACCTTAACAAGATTCTGAACGGTTCATTTAAAGATAGTATTATATCGACTTTTAAAATTTCGATAGTTTCGTTGTTTGACAGTTATACATAGTATCGATATTGCCATCGATATTTCTCCCTCTCTAAATTAAACTTCAACCAAAAAAGTTATTATAGTGAAAATAGCTTAACTTTTCGTGTTTCTAATTGGAAAACTTAAATTTTTAATTTAAAATACTTTTGAAATTCTTTTCAGAACCCAAATACATCGAAGGAGAATATGAAAAATCATCTGAAAAATATGATGAATTTTTAGAGGATATTAGAGGTGATGGCAATTTTTTTGTAAATAGCCCAATACCAGACAAAGGTAAGTAAGCATGCACATACTTATACACAAAATAAAATATTTTGTAGAACTACTTACATACGCACATACATATTTAAATTTATATTATTTCATTCAACTAAAATTTTATTTTTTAGATTTACCAAAATTTGGTGAACCATTACAAAATGTAACTATACCAATTGGTCGTGATGCAATTTTACAATGTATAGTCGATAATTTACAGACATATAAGGTAAATAATTTTTCAATATAATTCACTTAAAATCTGTATAATTATTTATATTAGCCAATATTTAAACAAAAATCTATTCTTTCCGAATCAATATTTATAATCTAATCAATAAAATATTGAAATATATAGAAATTCAATACAAATTATATGTAATTTTGCGAAAATATTTCAATTTTACAAAAATTAAAACTACGGTAAATTCCTGCCCAAAAACACATTTCAAATTCATTTCTATGAATTCTATGCAAATGCAAACTTTGGAAATTTCAATATACAGAACACAAATTATAACCTCAAAAAAAAAAAAACAAGAATAAAGTGAATAAAATAAACATTTTGAACTAATTTTTTTTTTGGAAATTTCACAGTTTATATTTCGTAATTTTGTACTTTTGCATAATTTGAAAATAAGCCTACTAACTATTGATTGACATGTGAAGGACCGTATATAACTATACATACATACATATTTTGTTAGAAAAGCCACAATAAAACTGATTTTATTCAACAAAAAAAAAAGAAAAACAGAAATACCAAATGAATAAAACAAATTCCTAAAGAGCGAAAAATACGTTGAAACCGGATTAAGCATGTTAACTAACCATTAAGGATTCTAGCTTTTTATTTTTCAATTTGAAATAGGAAAATCAAAAAACTAGACGTGCTATAAATAACTAAATTAATTCGTTTCTTTTTACAATTTTTTCCGTTTTGAAATTAACATTTCGCACTTCAAGTTGCAGGAGGTAATTATTTTTGATATAAAAATGTACAAGGTGTACAAACTAAATTCTGCGTAAATATGTCGAACAATTTCAATCTAAATCCTACGGATAATTATTAATATTTTCAAATTTTAAAGAATAGGTGGAAAATTTTTGAGATCTGCGATTTTTGTTAAAATAAAATACAGAGCTTTACAAAAATGATTAATAAATGGCTAGTAAAACTATACACATTGACTAAATTTAATGTAGCATGTATCCGTTTTTCAAATGAAGAATCAAATTTTTTAATATTCTCTATATAGTATTATGGTTTTTGTAAAATCTAGGCTATCAGAATTTTAAAAATTAGCCTTAAAATTTAATTTAATATCCAATAAAGTTAACATAAAGGATTACTTTTCTACTAAACAAACTTTTTAGTTTTGTAAATTTTTCTAAAAAAAAATCTATATAAATAAAGTTAAATAAAGTGAGCGCAGATAACTAAAGTATCAAACTTTAATATATTTTTTCTTTTATTTTTTGTATTTCCTCGTAAATTTAGATTGCGTGGTTGCGAGTCGATACACAAACAATTTTAACAATTCAAACTCACGTAATTACAAAAAATCATCGAATGAGCATAACCCATAGTGAAAAACGTGCTTGGATATTAAAAATTCGTGATGTTAAAGAATCAGATAAAGGATGGTACATGTGTCAAATAAATACTGATCCAATGAAAAATCAAGTTGGGTATTTAGATGTTGTAGGTAAGTTAATTTTTAATAGAATTGTAGTGGATATTATTGCTTAATCGTCATGTCATGAGTAGTACATTGATATTATTTCATCTTCCTCTCAGAGGATAATTTTTTGTTAAATTTTTATCCGATGAATATTTTGAATAAATATTTTTTGATATAAAGCAATTATACAGTCTGCCATGCAAAATTTTTAAAAGTCCTGTATTAGTAGCATTTATATCTGACTTTTAAATACATTCATGTAGATATAGAATCCATTTGCAAGAAGGTTTAACTAAAGAAGACGTAATAGATCTCGTACTTAGTCTTAGATCCCTTCATTATTAGTGTTAAATACTTTAGCACCCAATATAAGCAGAATTATGCAAGGAACCTTATTTTTATTCCTATTTTGTTTTTGAAAGGACGTGGCAAAAATAATGATAGCGTACTGAGAAATTTTGTTTTTTAAAAGTGAGAATTTCTTATTCAATTTTTAGTATGTAAAATTTTTCCTAAAACCAACGAAGAATTGCAATGTATGTAATTACTTAATTATAGATTTATTATAAGTTTTATCATTAAAGTCCTGTCCTTTATTGTTTGTAAGTTCATAGGTCGGCATCGTTTGAACCCAATTATAAAAAAATAAAAAATAAACAAATTTTTTAACCTTTTAGACAAATGACCTAATTTACAATGAAAAAAGATTCTTCAATTACTTAGTTTTTATATAACAATTACTATAATAGACTTGTTAGAATCTTCAGAAGACTTTTAAATTTTTGCTTTTTTTTAATACAAAATTGGGCACACAAACAATTCCTTTGATAAGAAAAACTATTTAAAATTTTGTTCTCATCCCCAATCGCTCACCTTACTATAATTAACTGCCTAGTATTGCCTACTTTTATACTAATAACCTAAATTTACAGACATATACACCATGTATAACTGCATATACATATAAGAAATAAATATTATAATTTCCTTTGGATGGTATTCCCATTTTACTCCTTTATTTTACTCAATTCACATAATACCTGAACAATAACAATGAGCAGAAAAGTTTATATATTATTTTTACCAGTCCTTTTAATTTTCTTCTTTCCGCAAGAACATTTTCAAACATTATAATTGTATATAAGCCAGTTTAAATACATTCATATAAATGAGTGTTTGTATGTATGAATGGCATCATGAAGAAAATTATATTGTATTTCCCTAAGAATATGCTTCTTTTCTTGTATTATGAAAGTAGAAATAAAATAATTGCAAAATTAAAATCATGTTTTGGGAACCATATCATATTATTGTCGTTAGTGACCTTTTAATAATAAAGTTTTTTAGATAGTTTTATTCCCCCATATCTACTTTTATATTTACTTCATCTTATGAATATGAAATTCTATATATGAATTGAAAAATTTTTAATAAAAGCACTTCAAAGATTTTAAAAATTTAATATAAAATTCATATAGAAATAAAATTAAGTTCTAATTATCAAAGTGAAATTTTGTTTTAAGCTCTATTGGGGATCTCTGAACGTGTAAATTCAAAATTGGTTAGAATATTTTATAAACATATTATAATATTTTCTAAATATCTACATAATTTTAGTACATATTGGAATCTTCGATGACTGGTATGAAAAACTATATGAGCCAGAAATCAAATTCGTTATTGAACAGTATGAATCGGCAGCTGATTTTGAAAATATACTTGAATTAATTCGGTAACAAGTGTGGTGTCTATTCAGATGTGATTCAAATGCGAGATCAATTCATGATGATATTATATAAGGAACTGTCGTTCAGAATTCTTTTATAGACTCTTAGAAAATTATCCTTTATTTTTGTTTGTGAAGCACATAATTAAAAATCTGCAAATACATTGTTATTGAATTATTTGTATTGTTCTTACCATTACCATTTTTTAAATTTATTATTTCTATTTTTATTAAATAACTAACCTATTGAATGCATTCTATATCCATAGGTTTAAATCAGCGTTACACAAGAAAATAGAACTAAAAATAGGCATATTTTATTTTCCCTCATCATATACGACTATCAAACTTTTAAAAAATATAAAGAGGAAAACTTTTAAGCATAATTAAGGGCATATTCTCTTTTGTCCTTTTTTAAAACGGTTCACTTAAAAAATTAAATGAAATACCCGGATCACGTAAACACAATAATTAATAGAATTTTCCTTTCTTTCAATATATTCTAAGTACGTTCATGTTTTATAGGAATTATTGTCCTCACTTTTTATGGCAGTGTCTTTATTTATAACTAAAAATAGTTTTAATAATTCTAATTAGAAAGAAAAATCTAAATAAATAAAAAGTAGAGCAATGAACGAAGACTTTTGAACCGTACGTATTTATTAAATTCAAATTAATTTATCTATATATATGTAAATAAAATTTAATTTAAATTCTATTGTTTTAAGGAGAATTTTAATAACGTGATTCAAATCGTGAAGGTATTAAAAGAATGTATTAGGTGATGGGTAAATGAAATGATTGAGTAATATTAAGATGATAAAGAAATTGAGGAGTTACTTTTGCAAAGCTCTCTCAAATTAGATGTGTGATGCTAAAATCGAAGTGAAAACAAGGACTCAGACGGTTGAAGAAATATTAAAGCAATAATCACAAAAGCAAATGAACGGCAATATTCGTACTCGACCTAGATATTTGTTCTGAAAGTAAACATGGTGAGGTGAGGTAAACTAAAGCTTCATATAACATTTTTTTTTAGGGCATGCACGTTTTCTGCTTATCTGAACAAGAATCAAGATTACAGAATTGAAGGACTATCGTTGAAAAAAAAAAGACACGGTATTCCATACTTTGTTTGAGAGCAGCATTTCCTAAGCGAAACTGAAATATTTGGGGACACTCTCAAAATATTGTTAGAGTAAAGTTATAGTGAACAAGGGCAAATTGAATATCATAGCAAAATGTGTAAATAGAAATACTGATTCGCGGGAGAAGGAGACTTAAAACCTCAAATGATCTAGAAAAAATAGTAGCAGTAAATTCAAGATAAGAACATAAATTAAAACGAGAGAACGGGCTCGACCTAAAAATTTTTAAATACAACACAGAAATTTTGAATACAAAAAAGCGAGTGCATTATGTATTATGCCAATTTAAATTATTTATAGCCTTATAAAAATATTTTTTTAAGTAGGTTTTTGTAAGAGCCCATTTTTTTCACGTCTATTTAAATATTTCCATAAATCTCTTCTGTAAGTCATCCTAAAAAAATGTTTGTATATCATGTATCCATAATTGTATACCATTGATATCAGAAAATTTCAAAGCAAAGTTTTGTTTTCCAAATTAAAACACTACAATCCTTACAAGCTTACAAATCACCCTATATTTAAGTTGACCTATATCAATTTTAAGTAAGTGCGCACGGTTTTTTCAAATACGGTCAGGCAACTAAAGATAATAAAGTAAAATCTAAATTCAATATAAATGTAAACGGAATTTATGAATATATATATTTTTTTACGAATGCTTTAGTTTAAACAAACATATTAAATATTTAAAATAAAAACAAAAAAAAGCGCAAAACAAAAACACTATCTAATTTTGCAATTAATTTTCATAACTTACTGTTCAGTTATTAGTTCCGACATTTTAATTTCCTTTAACCTGTTAATTTGATAAAATATATATTTTTCAAAAGATTTTAATTTAATTAAAATTATTATATAATTACAATTAATGATCTACAATATTAAAATAATTTAGTATGTCTAGTATAATAATGAAACTGTGTCAACATTGATTATCAATATAATATTATAGAGCACGAATTAAATTAATAGATTTGATGAAATTATTCAATGAATTAATTTTAATAGAACTATTTATTTATTTGTTACATAATTAGCTTTTCTATATCAAAACTATAAATAAAATTATATTTCAAATCATTTACTTAAAAAATTCATCATGAAATGAATAAAAAAATTCATGCATATAATTAAAAATCGTAATAATTATGAAATGAAAATAAATTTTTCGGGGATTTTATTCATTAATATTGTTATTTAAAGAGAGAAATTTTAATCATCGAATTAAATAGTTAACCATCTTACATATTTATCATGTTTTTAGTAATATAACTTATCCTTTACTGTAAGGTTTAGATAATAAATGATACGAAATCACCAGATTTTGTCAAATTTTGAAAATCGTCGTCACATAAAATATTCAAAAAAGCTGTTATAAAAAATCTAATTGGGAGGAATTTTAGTAAGCTTTAGTTCGAGTTAAATATAATTTAAAAATCTCTTAACGCAATGGTGTCATTCCGTAGAATGATTCCAGCAACGCGCAGTGTTCATAAAAAATGTTCATAAAAAATCACTCACTAATTATAAAGATACAAGTAATATGGAGCCATTTATTTTTTTCGCAACTAAAAAAATTTATTAACACTTTGCTAATTAAGTTTACGCTATTGCATAAAGATTAATATTGAACTTCAAGCATTAAATGTTAAAAGTAAATTAGTTCATTTGAATGTGAAAGGTATTGCGTCAATATGAAATATGTATTGCATAATAAAATCAAATTGCTTCTGTGATTTACTTCCAAAAATATGATTCCGGATTAAGGATAAAAGTCACCCAGTGGGAATTTATTTTGTTTTTTCTGTTTTTTTTTTTTTTTTTTTGCTTTCTTTTTAAAATTATTTCTCAACGATAAGCTTCCGCAATATTCATGAACTGCAATCATAATTTTGATCTTATTTCCTTTTACTGTTTTATAATCTTTATTTGCATTTAATTAACCCATCATTACAAGCATAAATACATACATATATGCGTAAATTTTATATATGTACCTATTAATACTTTAACTATATATCTATTCTTAATTTCACAGTTCCTCCAGATATTCTCGATTATCCAAGTAGTTCAGATATGGTTATACGTGAAGGTAGTAATGTTACTTTAAAATGTGCAGCAACTGGTTCTCCTTTACCAACGATAACATGGCGTAGAGAAGATGGTAGTACAATACCATTAAGTGAATCAGATGGCATTAAAAATGGTGAGCACACATATTTATACTTAATATACAAATGTATGCATGTTATGTAGAAAATTCAAAGTTGAAATGAATATTTTATGTACGTTTCTGGTAAAGCAGTTTTTTTTTTCAAATAAAATGAATGAATATTGAAGATTAAAATAATAAAATGAATATTTGGTGTACGAAAGAAAATTAGTTTTCCATATAATTAAATGCATACACATATGTATATATATATATATGTTATATATTATAATGTTGATATAGTTTAGTATATGCAAATTTATTATGTAAATCAATGAAATCCATTAGCTTCTTTTATTAATTTGTAGGTGTGCATTTTAATTGGAAATTATATAGGTATATGAATCCATTCTAATATATTAGCTAATCAAAGTCCATTTAAGATCATTATCTTTCCTAGAAAAATTAACAATTTATGGTTATGAAATTAAATCAATATTGTGATTACAATTAAAACGGAAGATACAAATAAAATTCTTGTTATTCGAAATTTGAAATCTTGGAACGCAATTCGTATGGAAAATGATGCAAACTTGAAAATATGTCTGGCTGGAGCACAATTTGTATAGGAAATCATTTAAATATGGAAATAAGTTTTTCTGGAACCAAATTTTTAAAGGAAATCTTAAAAATATATCTATTTGGAATATCACTTTTATTGAAAATTGTTGGATATGTCACTCCGGAACGAAATTTGTATGCGAAATAATTAAAATTTCAAAATTTTAATACATAATATGCCAATATGAAAAATCAATCAATTACAAGTTTAACATATGGACAATTTAGTTATTCACAAGTTATTCATTTTATGCCAATACCAGCCGGAAGTTTAAAATGCTATGTACTAATTCGTTTATTCAATAAATTCGAAAAAACTAAATTAAATTTCTTCCAGTCTAAAATTCCAATTACCCCAAACACTGTACGGAAATTTAAATCAGCATGTTTCTCAAACCAATAGAGAGTAATGTCAGCCAAAACATTTATTCAATTGTAAAATATTAACTACAGGCAGGCACAATGTATCCCAAAATATGAATCTATATGAAAAAATCATTGGAAATTTAAATATGAACCATTTAGTTTTTAAACGTTTAAAAATTATTTATAAAATGCATTTTCCAATAATGGTGTTGAATATTAATTTCGAATTTCTTTAACAGCAAAATTGTGTAATGGTAACTGTATAGCAACCATGTCTTACTCTTTTTCAATGTAACCAATTTCTTGACATTAAAATTAAATATTAAATGTAATTGAATATTCATTTTTTAAAATTTACTTTTGAATGATTTTTTTGATTATTTGAATAATTTTACTTGTTCTAAATGCCTTTTATGCAATTTTATTGTAATATTGACTAACTATGTAACATTTATTCTGTGTTTTTTTTTATTATTATTTTAATTTATTTTAATTTACCGAATTCATAATGAATTGAAAATGATAAAATGACTTTTAATAAATTTTTTTTTTGTCGGCAATAGCAAGTTTGCATTATATTTTAAGTAAATAATTCTATAACTATAATTAGAATTTAAATAATACTGAAATTGTATTTTACAACAATCTAAAATGAAATTGTATTTTTGTATATTTTAAATAATGTATAACAATGGGGGGATGCACATACACACACAACTGTACAATATATAGTTAATAGTTATAATGGTTCAACATTGGTTATTGCAAAAGTGAATCGATTGAATATGGGAGCATATCTATGTATAGCCACAAATGGTGTACCACCAAGTGTTAGCAAAAGGATAATGCTAATTGTTCATTGTAAGCATAAATATTTTAAGTATATATATATGAATATATTATGATAAACATAGTATTATATTTTATATTTCAAAGCGTATAACAAAATATTTTATTACCAAATATGATTTATAATTGTTTATGAATATTAAATTTCAATAAAATGAAGAAATATTGAAATGAAATTCTAATTACGATAATCGTCTTGTACTATTTTCTTTAATATTCAAACAACTTAAGAGTTGGAATTTTGAATGAAGTCTATAGTTTACATGTACTTATTTTATATTTTTTTCGAATTATTAAAACAAGTCGTTCAATGAGTCTAAAATTGTTGTAATATTTTAATAGCAAATTAATACAGAATCGTTTCCTTTCATTTTGCTGAACTACTTTTTAATGAAAATGAATTGTTATGATATTTATGAACCTGATTTATTCAGCGTGATCACGGCCCCAGTTCTCTTTGATTTCAGACTAAATTGGTTTACTAAACTTTTATTATAATTATTTTAAGTTTTTAAAAATTGAAGCATTTACATACCGACGATGTATACCTTGTATGTAAATCAACCTGTAATAACAATGTCGCATTCAATACGAGGAAAATATAACTCTCAAAGTTTAATAGGATTTAATGTTGTCTGCATATTCGGCAGTTGAATAATAAGTACCTACAAAAAAATGAAGATGAAAATAAAATCATCATTAAAAAATTGCATTATATTAAAAGGATCTGTCGAAAATAAAATAAAGCTATAATTAGTCGAAAAGATTTTTTAAATTACCAAAATAGTAACCGAAAAGACTCATTTAATTTTAATGATTTTTTTTCCGTTCTTTTTCCTTAACAATATCAATACTCAATAATAAAGATACTAATTATATTTGCACATATATTCGTAATATCTACATATTAATATTCATTAATAAGTATGTACAGACAGAATGTGATGTTAAAATGTATAATGATATTTTAAATACAAAAAACAATTTGCCATTTTACTAACGAACTTAAATACAATAAAGAAAATTCGGTCTCGTTATTTTCCCATCATACCTAGATATTAATATTTTATATTGATTGGTGGTTATACACATTAAACATTGTTTATGCAACAATTTGTTTGATTCAATCATATACACATCGAACATTGTTCACGCATTTTGTTTGATTCAGAAAAAAAAATGAATGAAGTCGTGATATGGAAGCGTTTGTTCAAAAAAATAAAACTTTATCTAATTCTCATTAAAAATGAATTACGAAAGCTAATTTCACGAAAAACAAATTTGTGTGTCTATATCACATATACAATTAAAAATCATACAGTTTGATTTGATTTTACTCACTATTCGGAATCTTTATCAAACAAATTTTAACTATTTTATTCGATATCTCTAAAAATTTAATAATTGGGACGAGAGTCAAGTTTAGGTTTGTATCACGCAAGCAATACAATTTTAATTTGTTAAAAGCATACAACAAGTTCTTTGATCATAATAATATCTGAAGTCAAAATGGTATTAAGAGAACAAGTTTGAATACAGTGCTTATACAATAATATTTAAAAAAACATTTCCAAAACGACGCTTCTCTACTTTTACACGTCCCTTAGTATAAACTTGTACTTGGAAAATTTCGATTGTATCAAATTTTTGTAGAATTATTGAATTAACGGTAATGATAACGATTATTGTGTTCTTGTTCGTATCAACTTCCTTTTTTCCCCTATATAATTTTTGCAAAGAAAAAGAACATTTTAATTATCACAATATAAACGATATACAATGCGACATTAAAATGAAATTAACACATTAATGAAATTAAATTGAATTTCGAAAATTTAAGAAAAAAAAAAATCAAAATAAACGAAAGAAAATTTTTAACAAAAAAAAAAATAATTAAAGAAAAGTGCATTCATACAATGCTAATACTAAGTATAACAGTTGCTTTATTCTTATATAGTTATACAAAATGCACATATTATACAATTTCCATTAAAACAATATCAACACATACATAAAAACATATTGTAGAGAGTACATTAAATGTAAAAAATTAAAAAATTCAATAATAATAAAAGTTTTAACAAAGTAATTTTGTGGAATGTAATTAAAAAAAAATTCACTTTCATTTTATTATACGCTCATAATATAGCACACATTATTATAATTTTATTATTATTAAAAATATTATTGAACATCAGACCATTGTCCTGTGCCATTATATTATTTTTATATAATGTATGTATACTTGTGAAATATTAAATTTTTTTCATATAATTAATTTTTTTTTTAAATTGGTTAGGTATATAAAAATATAACACATAATAAATTTCATAAAATTGAACTCGTTATAATTTAACGTAAGCATGTTTATATGTGCATAATAATATTCAAGCTAATTAATATTCTTTTTGATATTAATTTACTACTAGTATAAAACTTATTATAATATGATTGGAACCCGTATTTTCGGCACATTTTCGATCAGATTTGAATTACATTATTTTAAAAATTTTAAAGACTGTTATCTGTTTCGAATATATGGAATATTTCGACTTCTTACTGTATAAACGAGTGGTTAAATCCAAAAACAAGGCAATTTCGCGAATACAGCCAAAAAAAATCCGTGCAAGTCAAATGATTTTGGAATCCGCAGAAAATCAACGTGCTGTCCGGAGAATCATGTGATCTAAAGAAAAGTTACTAATTTCAGTTTGATTTAGAGCTTTTTGCAGCTTTTTCCAAGAAATATGCTCCAACGTAGAAGCAACTTGTATTTATTTTAGTTTGCACCTAAGTGTATATTTCATGTCTAGGATCCAACTGAAATTAGAAAAATTGTAATATAAATTTGTATAAAAAGAATTTTTATTAATATTTTTCAAAGAAATCGGAATTTAAAAAATTCGGAGAACAATTAAGTTTACTTTTGACGGTTCTTGTACTAAACAAAACACTGTATTGGATACAATGCTGTAATTTGAAGGTGGTAGTAATTTTTTTTTTTTTAAATAATTCTTGTTTTATATTGGAATAATAATATTATTTCGTAGATATTTTCAAAGAACTTAATTAGTTTTAAGTTTTAGTCTTAATCAACTAACACACTTATACCTTCATACACAACAAGCTCATCATAAAGTACCAATATTTTTTTACAATATTACCACTTTAGTATCTTTGCAAAACTCATAATGTTTCAATGTAAAGAATAACTCAGCGACCTCTTCAAAGATTAACAATTTTTACTATTAATTTTACTTATACAATTATTTATTATCAAATTTTACATAACATTTCAATTAAAAATTCTCACGAACTTCGATACCTTTAATCTTCTTTTAAAATATTTCATTGGAAGGATTAAATTGGGAAAAGCTATCAAAATTTATATATGTTTGATTTTTTTTATGGTTCAATCATTTTGATCAATTTATGCACAACAATATCAAAAAAAAAAAAGACTGAATCGAAAATGAAAATAAGCATTAATAATAGAATATTTTACAATATGTATGAACATTATGTTATACATAGGCTTTTGTATATAGAGCATGTAAGCAAAAACATTAATACTAACAATTCCTGTATGTTTTATGTGCGTATACACAAGTATGAAATGTAAATAAAATTCTATTATCAAACTAATTTAAATCCAATATTTTTTTTTTCGATTTTATTTTTTAATTATAAATTTTGTATCGGTATTATTGATTAATATTGTATCTGTGAAAATAATCGATTACTTTTTTTTTATCATTTTGGTTAATACAAACAAGAACAAGTAAATAGAATCGCATTACCTATATATATATGTACATATATATAATTGGAATACATTGGATAATCTTTTCTTACAATAATTTTGAATAAAGCAAATTACTATTACCTATTTTTACATTATATATTTTCAAATATATACTAATATATGTAACAATAAAACTAAATAGAAAAAAAAATATTCAATTTAATTCTGTTTTTTTTTTCTCAATTTGAAAAGTTCCACCAATGATTTGGATACAAAATCAATTAGTTGGAGCTGCTGTTGGTCAAACAATAACATTAGAATGTCAATCAGAAGCATATCCAAAATCGATTAACTATTGGATGAAGAATGACACAATCATCGTTCCAGGTCAGTATACATTCATATATAATATCATCTACAATTTACATATATGTACGTATGTGTATGTTTTAGCTTGTTATTTAGTGGTTTATTCAGTTTTTAATAAATTTATAACAAATCTATTATTTATATATGTAAATACATCTGAATATACACTTATGTAAGGTATAAATACAAAATAATATCTTTGTTAAATTTTACAGGGTGTAATAATAAAAAAATTCATATGATATTCTGAAAAATAAAAAGTATGCTACTCGGAAGTTTATTGCTAGTTGGGAATTCGAAGAGATGATTTCAGGAATTGATTTTTTTTTTCTAAAAAGTAATGATGCCATAATTTTTTGAGACAACAATACTCACCTGGAGAATACTCCTCGAAAATTTACCTTTGTATGAGAATTTACAGAAACGATTTTCAAGAATAGATTTAGTTCTTCTCCAAAAAGACAAATTTCATAACTTTCTGAAGCAATAATCCTCACCAAGTACCATCGAATGCTTTGTTTTTTTACTAATGTAGGGGTTTTTACTAATGAATTTGTGTTTTTACTAATGAATGGTTCTAAAATTCAAACATAATTTCTCATTTAGTTTGCAAGCTATAAAAGTCTTAAATTTTATTTATTTTGATTACTTCATTATTACGTTCAATAACGAGTACAACTTGTTAAATTTACCATTAAAAAACAAAATATAATTCTAAGTATCGTAAATATATAAAACTAGATTAGTCAAATTAAATAGAAAATGATTGTTGTTTTTGTTAATTAACTCAATTCGATCAAATAGAATCAATTTTTCTATTTGATTTTCTATTTTCTGATTTTATTTTCATTTACCTACGTTTTTTTTTTCTGTTGTATTATGTGCGATAAATTCCTAAATTGTATTCATGGCGTGTATTCTTTACAATAATATAATACAATTAATACTAAATAGAGAGACCTAAATTATATTTGAAATACTCAGTGATAATGATATTAAAATTCAAATGAAAATTCAATTGATTGATAGATTTAGTATATAGTATTAAAATTCTATCACGTTGTGAATTAAAAAAACAAAATTCAGAATATTATTTACTAATACCTATAGAAATATTCGTATACAAACAAGGATAATTATTTTATTATAAATATAGTGTACATTAAGACTTTATTTTTTAATAAAAATGAAGGATTAAAATCGTTTTGTATAATAGCAATGAGATTAATTTCAATTTAAAAATATTTAAATAATTTTTTTTTTGTCCTTTATTTAAATATTCATTATATATTTTAGTATTTTGTATTTTAATTTGATTTTATTTTTTGTTTTTCAGGCGAAAAATTTATTCCCGAAATGTATGAAAGATTATATAAAGTAATAATGAAATTAACAATTGTAAATGTTGAACAAAATGATTTTGTAACTTATAAATGTTTAGCAAAGAATTCATTAGGTGATACAGACGGAGCAATTAAACTTTACAGTAAGTATAAATATTGTAAAATTAATCATTTATAGAAATTTTTAATTTATTAACAGATTTATTATTGTCATAATTCATTCATTTGTTTAAGAAATTGCTATAATTAGAAATTTTTTTTTAGTCACTATTTTGAAATTTTCAAAAAATTGGAAGATGAAAGCCTAGAAGATGTGTTTCTCTTAGATGAGCTCGTTTTCGCAATTACTATACTAAATAGAGAATTACAAAAATGCTAAAATTGATCCTTAAAAAAAATATCGAGTCAAATTTCAAACGGATTTTGTCAGCAAGGGTATAGCAACTGTGTGTGAGATTTTGAATCTCCAAAATGGACTATAAAGCCAATGATATCGTGACAAATGAGCACTGCATAAGCAATATGTTGGGAAATATTTTCAAAAATCGTCTTTTGTGAACCGGCTAAAAGAGATGAATAGATTTTGTATGGGAATAAAGTAATTTAGGAGCAATTTCAGTTATGAATATGTTAAAACAAATGAGGAATATTATAATAACCATTTTTTTGTGTTTTAAAGGTTTCAAAAATTAAATTCCCATTGCAATAAGTAGTAGCTCACCAAAATTCTTTGATTGTTAGAACTTCTAGTTACTTAAATATTTTAAGCATCTAAAAAATAAAGTTCGGATATTTCATTTTTCTACAAAAAGTTTTTTTTAAATTTTGAATTTTGTTCACCTTCACATTAAATTCTTTTTTCTTCATCCTTTCTTTATCTTGATTAGCTGATTTTGTATAATTTTCTATTTACCTTTAAATACCTAAATTTTGGAACAGAAAATCAATAAGAGTTTTATATTTCATCACCCACAACATTAGGTATTTATGAACATGTATGTATGTTTTTACAAAATCAAATAACTCAAATATATTTAGGGACATAATCCTTGAAATAATAATAAAATTATAATAATATTTCATGCACATAAACCATTATATATATATCCTTATATATTTATTATATCCTTTCAAAAAAAAAATACCAAAAATTTCTTTTTCAGACATACCAAGAATAACTACAACAACATCAACGACCATTTCACCATTAACAACATATCATACATCAACAAATAATAGAAAGTCTGAGTCAACTGGAGGACGTTATTCAGAGGACAAAAATCTAAAAGGTAAAAAATAATAAGAACGACAAGAAAAAATTAAATTTCCTCTACTTTATGTGCTCTTTAAATTTGAATTAAAATAAATTGTTCATAAATATCCTAATAATATTTTTTTTTTGGTATTTATGATTATCTACTTAGGTTTTTGATAACGATCTTGATTAATTCATAGAATTACAGAAATTTTTTCAATAAAGGTTAATTTCGTTACAAAGAGAAAACAAAAATAAAAAAGGGTAACCAATTATATTTTTGGAAGATTGGTTTTTATCCTGAAGAAATTTTTCCAAGGTTTCATTCAACTAAATTTGAAATACATATTTCTTACAACTTTCTCGGAAATTTTTTTTGAAGAAAATACCTAAATATTTCCTGAGTTTTTTTCGTTCTATGAAAAAAATTTCAAATCGAAAATTTTCTATTACAAGGTTAAATTTCAATTAAAGCTACATAAAATTTAATATTATCGAAGGATTCAATTTTTATTTAATATGTAGGGGAAGGGTGGAAAAACCTTAAATTTTGACAGAAATTGCTGTAAGGTTTTAATATTTTTTTGATGAATATTGTCTGATTTTTATCAAAAATAATATTGAATTGGACAATGCAATTATAAAAATTTTGCAAAGTTTTCTTTACATGAAGGTTAATTCTCCCGTCTGCCTTTCCTCACGATTTAGTCTAATGATATTTTTTGAAGCTCTAATTTGTTGTTTTCATTTATTTTTATTACTAATATTTCTTTTATATTTTTTTTATTCAATTTTAGTTGAAAATAAGAAAACTGATAAGATTTTCAATTGGATAACGTGAAAATATTTCGAATGCCATGGAAAGCTTTCACGATAATTAATTTTGTATGAAAATGGTCATTCTAATTTCAATATTATTTAATGTACATTTGAAATTTCGGAATAAGAAACATCGTCAAAAATGAATATTCCAGCACACACAGATTCATTATTATACAGGAATCATTGTAGTTAGTAAATAATTCAGATGCATCTTTTATTCTCAGTACATAAATCGAAGCTCATTTTAGCTCTCATTATAACATTGTGTCTAAAGCTTACTGCAAAAATGTCCTGACAAAAATATAATATATTAGTATTAAATAACTAAAAAATTTTTCTTACCCCAATTCTTTGGTTTCGATGTTGAGGAACTGAAAACAAATTATGAATAAACTTAATATTTGCCCTATTTATAAAACTAAATTATACAATCTTTAAATAGGCAATGATGTAGGAACAAATCTCTATTTGTTTCTTCAGCCCCACCCATAACTCATTCTATTTTTTTCATCCTAGTTTCAATAATTCCTTCTTTGCTCGTATTTTATAACTTATTTTTGACTTTTTCATACCGTGTTTTTCTTGAATGACTCACTTTTGACTTTAGTAAGTTTAAACAAAAAAAAAAAGTTATTATCCTTTTGATTTATACGTGATACCCACTTAATATTATTTTTTTTTATGAAGAATTTATGATTGTTGCCATTATTGTCGTTTATTCTCGTTGTTGCTGGTGCTTTTCTTCCTTTTTATGTTATTATTGTAGCTATCAGAAAAGTTGTGAAACTTTTCCAATAAAATAAGAGGCAAAAAAGTGAAAAACATATTTTTTTTTTATAATGTTCCGACTTTTTTATAGTTTTTGTTTTTCTTTTTTCTGTTACCTTTGCCCCATTAAACTTTTCTTTAATTTTGTTTCATTTGAAAATATTTTTAAGTTTTTTTTTTTTACCTTATTTGTTTTTTTGCCATACTGTTGTGTCATGAGTCCTTTTCAAAAAAATTGTGCATATAATATTATGTGTACGCATATGTAGCAGCATGTGTGTATATTTTGGAGTTTCGTACAAAATTTCATTTCACGAACATTTTAACAAGTTAGTGTTTTCAATGCAAATAAAGAGTTATCTTTGAAACATACATTTTATTATACATTTCTTTTGCTTGTATATTGTTCCACTAACAAAATTCTTCTATTTACTATTAGAATCTTAGACCTAGTTTATATATGTACATATATAGTTGATGTTAATAATAAAAACAGCTCTGTTATTCTGAAAATGTTTGGAATTTTTAATATTCTTGTTCACGAACATTTTATTTTTATAGTAGGATTCAAACAGTAGGTAAAATAAATTTACTTTTCTATTCTTTTAGTAAATTACTACTGAATAGGAGAACATAGACAGTGAAATCAACAAATGAAAAATGTTATGCAGTTTTATGGAATTATAATAGCCCTGTTTTAATTGATTCGAATGAGACAACTTTGTTTTGTTGTTTTTTTTTTTTAAACATGAAAGTATTTTACATTATGAATTTTTTTAGTTTTACATATTTTCCATTAAAAATTTTATAGGGTATCACTAGGAGCCTTTGCTAATATCTAAAATAAACCAAACTAAAGGAATAACATAAAAATATTTCAATTGAATTTGATAAATGAGGGTTTTTCAGGAGCTCGTGCGAACTTTAAATAAAAATATTTGTTCAATGAACGAGCTAAAATTAAGGCAGTCACTCAATTTTCCCTCCTCTACTTTTCTTATTCTCAACATAGTTAGCTCTCGTTTCTATTATCCATTAAATGCAAAATTAGATTGGAAGTATGGAATGGCAATAAACGTAAGCAAATTTAAAAATTTACAAGAACTGCATCGAACAATTTAATCCTTGTTATTTAACACAATTTAAATTTTAAAAAATAAAAAGTTTTTTTAAATTTTGAATTTGAAAGAAGCCAAGAAAATAAGATCCTTGCTAACATTTTTTTATTAAGAAACGCGTTGAAAAATCCTTGAAGTTTGATTTACTTTTTTTTAACACGTTTTTCAGCTACTTTTTTTTTTGCTTACACAAAAATCTTCTTGTTCTTTTCAATGGCTTAAAATTTTTATGAAGTTTTTCTCAACTTTTAATTTTTTTTTCTTTTTCTAAGAAAACTTTGAATTTTTCTGTTTTTTTACTATAAATACTAAAAAAAAAAAGAAACGCTATAAGGTCAACTTTTCAATTCTTTAAATTTTTTAAATTTAAAAGTAGAAAAAAAGGGTTCATTCATCAATTTTTCATATATTATATTTTATTTTTTCAGATCACAATAGACGAAATAAATTGAAAAATCGAAGAAAACATAAATCATATACAATTCTAGATGATTTAACATTTTCATCATCAGATGATTTGGAAAATTTTCAACAAATTTCAAATCTTTGGAATTCAAAAGGTTTGTTGTTTGATTTGTTGAAGAGAAAAATACCAATATTATTATACAATTGTAAGCTATAAGAGAACTAAAGGATTAATGCAGTAAATTTTATAATAAAAATTACAAGGATACATATTATGCCCCAATAATTTGAGTATTAAGAGAATTGATAAAATATTAAAAATTTTCATATTTTAGGTGTACACAATTGGAAATCAGCCCAAAATCCAAAATCCTCAAGATGTTTGTGGCGTATATTTGCCTGATTTGAATGAAAATTCTGAAGTGAATAATGAAAACAACTTATAAAATATTCAAAACTAATCAAAATGAATTTGAATGAAATATTGACAAAAAGCGACTCTGTTCAGATACTCTAATAATTGGAATAATCTTGAGCTTGTCTTATAAGAAAAATTGTTTTGAACTATCCTATAGAGCAATGATTACACTAAGAATTCATGATAAATTAATTTATACTTAAATTTAATTATTGACATACTCACGAATCAATTAGTACCATTTGATTCTAGATATACCTCGATATTTGAAAGCTTTGCTTAAATTCTTTAACTTTCTAATCTTCTTTGTTTTATTCAAATATTGATAAAATCATATAATTTTCTATTCCATTTTAATTTTGGGCACAAAATAAATAAAAAATGTTTTTCTTTTTAACACTCTGCTCATTTTGACTCTTGAATAATCAATTGATTTTTTTGAAAACTTTTTAAATTTTATCTTTTAAAAATTATTTCTCTCTCTATTGGGTAATATGAAAATAAAAAAAATTTAAAATTTCCTCTAATATCCTTTTATCCGTTAAAAAAAAATTTTTTTTTGTATTTTTCATGTAAAGTACATCTTACATTATTAATAAGCATATAAAATATTCATAAGTTTTTGATGTAAATATGTATGAAGCAAAGTAAATAAATACAGAAGGGCACATAGTCGAGTATATTTCATCTAAAATCAAAATCAACGTATTTAATACGTTAACATACGAGTATCATGAAGTTTATGTAAAAACAAGAAAGGAATATTTAAGCTATTGTGAATATTGATGAAGATATCGAAATTTTAAATCCAAATTATTAGAATAGAAAGTGAAAGTGATTTTAAGACCATGTTTCTGCGTTGTAGAATTTAGAGATTCGTATTTACTTATGTTAAGGCTCGTGTCCTGTTTTAAAAGTTTTCGTGCAATTTTACTCCCTCCGGAGGAATATCTTAAACAGATCTTCATCTTAAGACTATGTAGTTATTTTTTGCTCCTAATTTAATTTTACGAATTAAAAATGTCCTAGAATCTAGATATTGCATTCAAACTAGTCAAAATTAAAATTTATTATTATACTAGAGTGAGTGGGTCCATACAATATGCATAACATTTTCCGACTTTATGTTATAGTAAGGCATGAATGTGCAATATGCAGTACATAATATATTATGTAAAAACGAAGTTAATAGGATATTAAATATTAAATACGAATTTTTCTTTTCAAATCGTCATAATCCCTAATATTCGTAAACCTTCTTAAATTTTTTTTTCTCCAAATTTTTTCTCTACTTCGAAAGAAGTAATCCTTTTAAAAGTATTTTGTACAAAAAAGGCATTTAATTTTATTTCTAGTGTGTCGTCTGCTTGCAAGTACACAATACATTTAAAATTAAAGTTTCGGTACTCGTTTTTTTTTTCATCTTTTTTTTTTCTTTTTTAAGGGAAAATGGGCTGATGATGATTTTTTTGTTGAAATGATATTCAGGTTATTGCCATTAACAGAAGTTAAAAAATTTTTATTTTATTGAAGACTCCCTAAGGATTTTCCTTTTGGGAAATTCATAAATACCTACTGCTACTACTACTTACATCATAATATAGGTTTTTCTTTTATTATTTTTATTCTGGATAATGCTTTGGGTCACCAGTATCACTTAAATTCATGTATGTACTCACTTAGATTTGAAAATTCCCATCCATATAAAATTTATTACTCAACGTTTATGAATTTGTTGAAATTTCTTCCTAAAATAATAATAAAAAAAAAAGAAAATCCCAGAATTATTTTTTATTCTTAAAGATTTTGTTTTTGTATCCATACTTGATGCAATTTATGCGATGGAACAAAAAAAACACAAAAAAAAAATAAAGACTTAAAATAATTTTTCTTTTTTTTTTTATTTTTAGTTCGATAAAAAAAAATACAGCAAGTAAAAAATGAAACAAATTTCTTTATTATTAGCAAGGATCAAGAAGTATTACATAATCTGATGACAAAGCAATTTTTTGTGGGATTTACAGTGCTTTAGGGATCAACGAAAATGAAAGATATACACACATTTTTATTATACATATAAACGCATGTATATGCTTGAGTATGTAGTTTAATATGACATTTATAAGGATTTTGTATATAGTGCGTTTAGCAAAGAAAAAAAAAACAATTGAATGGTTAAAGAGTGCTAAAGGAATGGGGGAAAGGCTTCATTTTTTTTTTTATAATATTGTCGTCATTATGTGATAATTTTCTTTTCGTTTCACCTAACAAATTTAACAAAATATGTTATTACAATTTTACATTCAAGATATTTTAAGGATTCTTTTATAGTTTTACACAAATATTATAATAAATGAATTCAATTTTAGGAACATTTTTTTTCCATTTAAATCATCAAAGTCTTCTTTTTAAAGTGAATTGTTCTGTATTCTTTCATCATTAATATTAATATCATATACTCGAAGAAATTAAATGTGACAGAATAAAAGAAATTTTAACGTAAATATTGAGAAAAATTATTGAAATAAAAGAATTAAGAACCTTACACAATATTATTTAAGATTTTATTAGAGAATATTTTATGGAATATGTTTGTTTTTTTTTGGGGAATTCAAGGTCGTTATTGTGTTCCTTAAGTAATTTAAAGTTAAATTAATGGATTCTTGCTTTAATTTATAATATACAATAATAAATTATTATAATATGTACTTGCATATTATTAAGAATTTTAATTCTGAAAATCAAAATTAATGAAAGTAGAATATTTGTCTTAACAATTATTTTCAAATTTAATTGAAAGACATCACTTAGTCACTTAAGTAATTTAATTTAATGAACATTTTTTCAATGTATAATTATTAACAATTTTCTGAAAGGGATTAATTCAATAAGATTTTTGGCATAAATATGGAATAAAGAGCAATTGTAATTATTATAGACTTTTAATATTTTATTTGTTATGTAAATATTATTCCTCTTGCTGCGTGTTTGCACCTTAGTTCACATTGTCCGTCATAAACATATGATTTTTTAATAAATTTTGCATGTTCAGTTGAAAAATGAAAAATAAATCAAACAAACCTAAGGGCAGCACCAAAAATACTGATGAGAGATTAACCTTATATTTAGAAGAAATGTTAAAAATAATACGAATATATAAAAAATCACATGTAATTCAGAATTCAATTAAAATTTATCAGTATTTTTCAAAAATGAAAACCGTGTGACTCTTCAATTTTCTATTACAATATTAAACTTTGACTTGTACTAAATAATTGTATGCTGAGTTACCGATACTTCATCGATTATTTAATTTATTTTAATTGTTAATTTATATTGCACATATTTGATTTGTTACTCTAAACATATTATTCTCTTTCTATTATTACAGATGAGACATATTATCGTAATGATGACCCAACAAATTCAACAATACATCATACATCATACGGAGGAACCTATACAAATTCTAATATAAGAAAATTTTTCAAATCATCATCATCATCGTCTGTGTCACTATCCCCACAACTATCAAAAGAATTATTTCTATTATTATCATCTCTAATATTGTTAATTACAACAACAATGATTGAAATCAAAGTTCTTATACAAAAATTAATGACAACTACTTTACAACAAAAAAATTGCCATGTTAAATAAAAATTCAATGGACCTTAGTTGGAAATCTACAAATTTTAAGAACAATAAATTACGAGTATGTAGGTACCTACATACAATATTTTTTTCTTTATTGAAAAAAAATAACTACTGCAAATCAATAAAAAAATTGTTAGAATAAAAAACAATGAATTTAAAACAAAAAAAGAAGGAATAAAAAACATGAAAAATTTAAACAAAAAAAAAAATATTTTAAAGAATAAAAAGAGGAAGTTAAAATATAAAATAAACCTTGCATTTTTTAGATTTCATTTTTTGAACTCAGGTACAAAAATATGTTTAATCAACCAAATTTTTGCACAATGCAATTACTTTACAGTTAAATTGTTATTCCGAATGCTTGACGTTAAAGTTACGGAATATTTGAAGAATGTATTTTGTAGAAATTATCCAAAATATTTCTATTCTGAAGAAGAGGAGCATTTTCAGAGCTACAGTCTGGAAACTAATTCATTTTGCAGATCGCAGACAAGTCATGAACGTTCCTTATTACATTTACATACAATTGAGTGTTGATTATTGATAGAAAATTACTGAATGCTTCCCTTAGCCGTCATGCTAAACCCTTATTTTTAAAATTTTATTACACAAAACTAAAAAACTCACAAAAACTAAAAACTAAAAAATCTAATATTTTATTAGATTTAATATATGTATGTATGTATGTAATTTGAAATTCTATTAATTTACAAAATCCAAAACGTTCTAATTTACTAGATTTAGAGTTTTGATATTTGATTTACACGCACGTACTGAGAAATTGCTAACCTAGAGAATTTAATTTGAAAAAACAAAAATATTTTACAAAATGTTTTCTATACTGTCAATCAAAAATTTAATTATGGAATAGGAAATATGTACATATGTACTAAGTTATTTAATAAATCAATACGTGTACAATCTAAAAATAAATAAAGGGTTTATTAACCAGCACATTTTTAATTTAGAAATGATAAACCTCATATTTCCTGTCATAAAAAAATTATGTAAGAAAATTAAATCAATTTATTTTATATGATTTATGTAAGGATAGCATCGCCTTGAGTCTCATATAGTAATAAAATGATTTTTAATATTGATTTATCATAAATGAATCTCCCAAAATTCGGCTTAATAATGAATTGGATTACATATAAATAAATTAAATTTGAAATTGTATAATTGTCTGACAGGATGCTTGAGTTCCATAGATCCTTATACGTGGTCGCAATAGATCGTTATATACGGTTGCGGTGCACTGTTACTCTTGCTGTACAAGCCTACTATGGAACCCTAAACTAATTGAAGCAAGAATTAAAAAATATATGTACTTATGTACATATTCTAATAGAATAATATCATTAATTATAATTAATAATTTACTGAATTCTTAAAAATAAATACTTTCTTAAATACGTGTGACTCTTCTGAATAAAAGAAGAATTACACGTATATACATACATAATTAAGAACATAAGTTAGTTCGCCTATAAGTATTACAACATGTGAACCCAAAAACACGACTAATACAAAATATTATTAATAATTTTTGATTTCTAAATGTAATACGAGTATAATAAAAATATGCTATCAAATAAATCAAAAGTTTACAACAATTTAAATTGTTTTATAGAATATTTTTACATATTTACATAAATACAATAATATCACATATCTACACACATAAGTATTTTATGTATTTTAAGGATTCTTAGTAACAATTTTGCAAAAAAAAAAAAAAAAACATGAAATAAATTTTTGCAATCAATTTAAAAAAATCATAACCAATTGTGCATTGTATAATATTTGAATATATGCATGTATACATGAAATGCTTGCAATATATCATAAGTTTTCTTTGTTTTATGTATTAATATTCACATTTGAATGAATGTGATGTACATATGTATATTATATATATCTATATGTATATGTAAATTAATATGCATATTGCACCTACGCAATTTAACTATAGAGTTGTTCAAAGAAAATCTTATAATTTATTGAACTTAAAGCCATATTAATTTTTTCAATTTTCAATATTCACAGTTTTCGTAAATTTTTTTAGAAATATATATGAAATAATTCTGTTATAGAAGAAAGATTCTTGTTCTGGAGCGACTTTAATTATGAATAGATGTTGGAGGAAATTTTACTATATAAAAGAATTTTTATTATGATTCCTGTTATAAGATTTCTCTTAAAAATTTGTCAACAATTTAAATCAATAAAATATGATATGCCCAAAAGTTTTCCGGAATCTTATCGAATCAAACGAATATGACACCAAAATATTCCATGTCCCGTACCTTTTTTGTGTAGGAGTTTTGTTGAACATATTTTCAAATAAGAACTTTGAAATTAATTTCAAATTTTTTAATTTCAAAAATTCCTTAATCAATTATATTCGAACACCGATTATATTCTTCGTCTTAGATGATTATATGGCTGCTGTTTTTGACTCTTTTTGACTTACTTCTATTTAGATATTAAAATGCAACGAAAAGAGTTTGAGTCAGAATTACAGTAAGTATTTATGTTAATATTGTAAATTAAATTTCAAATTCATCAATCATCGAAATATTTTTATGGCTTCAATGTCTTATACATTTCTTTTTTGTATCCTTAATGAAAAACACTATAATACAAAAATATAAAATACTATATAAAATAATATATTTGCATACAGGAGCAAAATATATGTGTATATGTACATCATGTGTATTACATTTTTATTAATTTTTCCTTTGTTTCAATAAACTATATATGTATGTATTGTATATAATAGAATTTTATGTAACCTTGTACTGAATTTTCAGGTTATTTTAATTGATCACAGATTTTTATTGAATTGTTATACTTACATTATTATTATGTATAAGAGTTTATTTTTATAATAAAAGGGAACAACATTGAAAATTTATTTTTTTTTTAATGGAATTCATATAACAATATTCATAGTTTATTAAAATAATAAAAAAAAAATAAAAAAAACTCTATTTAAATTTTTATTTTTTTTTTACTTTTGTTTTTCAAAGAATTTTCTTTTTTTAATCGAATAAATAAAAATATGGAAACAAAAATAAAAAATTTACTAGGTTTCACTTTTATTTTTTAATTTTTCTCTTTCATAAAAATGATTATTTTATTTTATTGAAATAAAAACGAAAATTTCATTTTTTATTCGACGATTAATTTTTCGATTATTAAGTGTTGAATAATTATTATTTATTTTTTTTTGTTTTTATTTTTATTGGAAATGAAAAATGCACGCGTATACAATATAGGTAAACCAATTTAATAAATTTAAAAACGAAAATGAATTTTTCTTTTTTGTGAAAGATTATTAATAATTATGACACAAAATTTATTGTTCCAGGTTAAATAATAATAACCATAGCTATATAGAATTATTTACTTTTAAGCAATTTTATTATTTTTTATTTTAACAATTTCGCATTTAATAATTATTGTTATTTTTTAATATTTTTACCTTATATAATAAATTGTAAATATTAAAATGCATACAATGTAGATATATTGAAATTTACTGATAATTAAGAATACGATTTTTAATTAAGTTTAATAAATTTTTTAATTTTTTTTTTTCAAAAATATATACATAAAATAAAATAAAATATTATTTATTGGAAGGTAAAAATGAATTTAAAAAAAAAAAAAAAAACTATGAATTCCATTTGTGTAATTGAAATGAGTTCAATTAAAACAAAAATATTTATTTTATATATGTATTGTTAATTAAATTATGATAAAAGTAACTTAAATTAAGTAAAATTAAATTATTATATATATATATATACAATAAGGTATGTATGTTTTATAAAATGATTTAACATAAATGTACTAGTATGCGAAGTATGTTGTAGTAGCGCAAAAATAATAATGAAAATTTAATTAATAAAATTGAACATTTTAACAATTTGAATAATTTTGTTTTTTTATATGAGAAGTGTACTCTTTAATAATAATATTATCATCGATCAGCTTTATGTTAATTAAATCCGTTAGCATAGGCTAGATGCACATATTACATACTAGGTATACTTCCTTCTCTTTAATTGATTTAACTATAAGCAGTTAAAAAAACAATTGAATCGGCTAAGGCAGGAAATCAAAATACTCTTCGGGTTATACAAATTATCTGGAACAGATACAGTTTTGTCACATTGTTTTACAATTAAGTTTAAAAACGTTCTCCATTTTGTAAGATCAGCATAAAGTTGCCTAAAATAAAGGAGACATTTAATATGTACACTAAATGAAAATTAGAATTTTTTTAATTATACTTTACCCAAAAATTGGCTTTTACCATGGCATTTAAATTGATGAAAACACAGTAAAATTTATAAAATTGGATTTTGTGTTTTAAAAATTTCTTGTTTGTACTTAATAGTTTCTTATAATTTCCATAACATTGAAACATATCCGATGTTATTGTTTTGGTCTTTAGCTCGTTTTACACCAAATTTCTCCACAGTCTTATGGTATTAATATTCTTTTCAAAATTAAAATTTCTCTAGAATTTTCTTAACTTCCACTTACATATTTTATGTTACGTATTGTATAAGATGATTAATGCGATAGCCTGTAACATTTTCATATTCATAAAAAATTATTAAAACTATTCCAATAATATTTTTATTTAAAAAATTTTATATGGGTTGCACTCAAAATTTAATAAAATTAAAACGAAATATTTTCATACCTATACAACAAAAAGGAAATTTATTTCTCTTTTAACCTTAATGCACTTTTTTAAGCCATCTGGTGAGAAAACATTACATTGCATTCTAATATTCCTGTAAATTTTATAATTAAATTCATATTTTGCCGAAATGCAAATTAAAGCACAAATATAAAAATAAAAAGAAAAACGTACATAAAATTTTTGGTAAAAAATTTTATCCTTAATTTAAAATTGTTATACAACAAAAGCTTTTGTTGTATAACAGATTTTTTACTATTTTAAACAATATATACTTCCATATGTATATAAAGCTTTGGAAAAAGTTTAGACACAAACCAAAATTAAAATTTTATACGTGTGTATTATAAAAAAAGGAAAAATTTAAATTGCAACGACAAAATATGATATTTATGTTTACATTAATGAGTGCAAGTAAAAGTGCAAGTAGCATGCCATTTTGCTCATTTGTTAGCCTATTCGGTAAAAAATTGTGCCACCCGATTCATAAAATATAATTCGCACTCATTTGACATTATTTTAACAAATCGTTGACATCTGCAAGTCTACTCGCAAACGAATAATAAAAGGAAACAACAAAGATAGCAGTACAAGACGCAATGAGTTCCAATTTTCTGACGTAAGCATATAAATTTTGTCAAAAAACAAAATTTAAAATTTTGTTGATTATTGCGAAAAATTATTTAAAAAAATTTTAAATGAAAAACGAAAATTATTTCAAATTGTATTCAGTTTTCAAACATATTTTCATTTTTATTGTAACTTTAATTTTTTTGTTTTATAATTTAAGTTTTATCTATAATAATAATTATTTAATTATATATAAATTTACAATATTATTCATTTTATTTTTAATATTAATAATTAAGTCTACATTTTTTATGATATTTATTTTTCATAATATTTTTGTTAAGAAAATTTTCATTAAGCACAAATTTATTATTGATTATAATTAATTAATTAATTTTATATATTTTAATTTTTCATAAAATTTCCAAACATTTTAAATAATTCTATTTTATTTTTTCCAAAAAGTTTTTTGCTTTATATTTTACATGAATAATTATTTTTATTTCAATTAAATTATTTTTATATATAAGATTTTAAAATAAAAGCACTGTTTTTGTACAATTTCTATAATTTTTTTAATTGTAATTTTTAATATTAATTTTATTTTTAATTATTATTTATTTTATACAATACAATTTTTAATTTTATATTATGAAACTTGTACACAAATATTTTTCTATACTATTTATTTTCCACTTTGAAAATTTAAAATATAAATTAAGTACATAAGTTGTTGAAATCTAAAATATGGGCCTTTATATACACATGAATTCTGGCAACGCTGTTTTTATCTCTAGCATGTATTTTCAGTTTAGAATTTGATGTAAACCTCAAAATTGTATTCATATAACATAATATGAAACAAGTGAAATGCGTTGTAGAAGAGAACGGCGCTAAAGAATACAATTTTATGTAGGCCCGCAATTCACAGTAATTTAAAAATTTAATTTGATACATATAACTTTATGTCAAACTGTTATTAGCTTTTGCCCAAAAACTTTTTATGTCAGTTTTAATATATTTTATATATTATAATTTTTTCAACAAAATTTTGTACAGAAATTATAATAATATATTCTGTTTAAATATTATACAAATTTCATTATAATTTTTATAAATTATTTCAATTAATATAATAATAAATTATTTGACATTTTAAATGAATTTATTAATACAATGTTATAATATATGAACAGTCTCATGTTAAGCTTAATATTAAATATTGTTTAACATTATATATATATATATATATATATATATATATTATATATAATATTTTTGTATACGTATTTTATGAGTTCTAATTAAACTATGTATGTATGGTTTTTTTGAATATTAATTTATCTAATATTAATATTAAGTATTCTAAATATTGTATTTTTTTTTTTTCAAAAAATTATAAGGAAATAAAAATAAATTCGAAATAACCTTGTAAGTCTATTCTAAAATAGATTGAAATGGGTCTAATATTTTCTGTAAATTGCAATAAAAATTGTTGTTTTTTCTCACTCTACTGCATTTGAATAGCAGCTGAGTACTACTCTACAAAAATCTTGTCAATAAGTAACAGTTAGTAGCAATAAAAGGAAATATTTGTGCAGAAATAATCACTGCAAACTGTCATTTACCAGTTTTATTTATATTGTGGAGAGTGGATGTGATCATTTTCTTATGAAAAATTATTTTTATAAAAAGAAAATTAAAATTATTGGAGCTGATCTACAAAAAAAATTAACAGGAGGAAAGAGAAAACGGAGTTAAAGATGAAAAGCGACCAAAAATAGCTGGACTGTCACTAAAGAACAGTATTCGGTATACTGGTGGAAAGATGACTGGAAGATATTGCGAAATCATGTAAGTACCTATGTATGTTCATATATTGTATATGGAAAAATTATTATTCCAAGTAGAAAAATAAATATACCATGAAGCAAATAACCAATTAATGGAATTTTTGGTTGCCTCAAAACGTTTGGGAGCAATATCTTATTTTTAATTAGAATGAACTTAGGCCACTTTCAAAATAAACCATTCAAATATTAAATTAAAGATTTTTTTAATAGAATTTTAGAATAAACTTTTACAGAATCGAGCTAAGAAATTAAATTGAATTCACTTAAAAGTAAAAAATAAATAAATATACATATATTAAATAAATATATATATATATATATAGGTATATATATTTATATTATAAATAATTTTAATTATAACTACTTTTAATTTAATAAAATAATAAAATTTATGAAAAGTTTGAAATAATTTATTTTCAAACTTTTTATTTACTATTCCTAATAAATTTCCTATATTTATACATAAAATATCAATATTTTTATTTATATATATAGCTAATATATGAAAACTTAAACTTGCCAGAATACTTTTTATTTTTACTATAATTTAATATAACAGTTTAATTTATATGTATATACCTAATAATAATAATAATATATGTATATAAATATTAATTCATGCATTTTAATAATTATGTTAATATATCTGACAATTTATATGTTATATGTATGTTTGTAATTATGTAAGTAAGTATTAATATTATACAATTATTCTATTTATATAAATCTATCCATTTATTATATATACATATATATTTATGTATATGCAATTGTATATTAAGGTAAAATAATTCAAATTTGTCAAAGAATTACAATTATTCCTTGAACAATAAATAACAAAATTCCTCTTCTTATAAATTGTTCCGCTAACTTATTTAGAAACTTTCTTAAATATATTAAATTTAATAATGACAGAAATAAAAAAACTTCTTTAGATATCCTTTTAGCTGATGAAGAGGTAATTGTTGAAAATTTTATAAATGAAGTTGATAATGATTTTAATTGTAATGATGATAATGAAATTGATGACATTAAAAGTTTTAATAAAGTTTCTGTTATTATGAAAATTCCAAATAAATTTGTTTTTGTAATTATCCGTTTTTGCCAAATTTCTAAATGATTTTTTCCTATTGTAGACCATCGTAATGAATTACTACTAGCTGCTGATGTTGCATCATAAATATTGTCATCATTATCACCGAGCATAATATCTAAAAATATAAATAAATCATAAGGGAAAATTAGTTACGGTACTCATAAAAAATATTATATTAAAAAATTGTTAATATTAAAACAAATTAATTTCCCAATTTATCTTTAAGGGGCAGACTGACCACTCCGAGTCCACTTTGAAACTATTCAACAAATTAAATAATAAAATAAAAATAGGTTCCTATGAGCCACAAAATTTTTTTGTTTTAGATTAGCGGCTAAGATTATGTGATTCGACGTGTATTAGCTATTTTATTTCTATTGAGTTTCTGTAAATTGTTAAGTAAATCTGAAATTTAAAGCGTTAATTATGTTTCTCTTCTTCCAATACGACAATAGTGGCAATAACATTGAAATTCATTCACTTGTTTCCAACATTAAAAGCATTGAAATTCATTTATTGAGTAGGAGAACAAAAAAAAAATCCGAATTAGGTCATATTGGGTTAATATAAGATCAATCTGGTTCTATATACTTAAACTAGCAATGTTAAAAAGTTTAAGAAAGAATAATTTATTATTTTCTTATTTGTATTAAAAATTTTTCCATGGCAGGACTTGCTTATGATTTGTTTTCATTTTTCATTTTCACATTCTAATGCATATAGAATACCGGGCAAAATAACTTTATTTATACATACGTGCTTTACTTGGAAAAAAATCTTAAAGTATCTATTATTTTACAAAATATAATAAACTCTTCTGTTTCTTTATCAAATCTATTACAAGAATTGGCCCTTCACATTGCTGTTTTTTTCCTTCACATTGCTGTCTGAATTTGAATTTTTTTTATAATATTGAAGTACAAGTATAATAAATTTTAAAGTTTTATTGATTTTAGATATGGTTAACATGAATATTATATTTTACGACAGTAAAAATTTGAATATTAAAGGTTGATGCTTTCAAATTATGAATTTTCCACTATTTCGCATATGAGAGAAAAGATTTTATTTTGAAACGAGGAAGAATTTACGGAATATTACAGAATTGTTCAAATACCTACAATGAAAATTAAGAAAAAATTCATATTTTAGAGATATTGAATATGTAAGAATATCCAAATTAATGAAAATCTCTAATATTCCTAAATATAATCCTTAAAATTACTTAAGTATTTAAAAAATAATTGAATTTATATACAATTCTCTTCTCCTCTCTGATATTCAAAAGAAATTTCTGATTTATCATAATAATCTTAACAAAATCAAATTATTAAAAAGTTTTTAATAAAATACAAAATCCCTAATATTGAATAGAAAATAATTAAAATTTAATTCATATTTTTTTTAAAAATTATATACATATATGCATGTATTATTTATACCTACAAACATATAAACAATAAATTTATATTAAAATGACGATAATTGAATAAAATAATGGCCATATAAGCAGACCTGGTAAACCTATGAGATTAATTTTATGTTTTATAAGACAAAACCAAATATTTTTTTTAACAAATTACACATTTAAATAAAATATATCACCGGTTTAAGTTAAGTTGTGATGGAAAAATATATTTCGCTTTGATATAAAACCTGCTTTAAATGAAAATTTTTTAATATTTTTAAAATTTTCATTTTTTTAAGCTAAAAACTTTTACTACTATCTCTTTGTTATTTTAATACTTCATAACTACTTTCTTAGCATATAAGTTAATATGTAAAATATTCTGAAAATAACACTGAGTTGCACATATCCGAATGAAGGAAATGGATTGACCAAAAAGAAATTTCAGTAGCTAAAAAACGAAAAATTCACTCTTTTTATTTACACGTTTCATCACAGATCGGCGATTCACAATTACTTGCAAAAACAATTAACCAGTATCTTCTTACAAGCGATAGTGCAACAGTATGCTTGTATTTTCAAAAATTATGTGATGTTTAAAAAGTTTTTTATAGAAAATATTTATAAGAAGTACACAAATTAAATGATATTAAAATTTCCGTCATAGGAAAAAGGTTGCCAAATATATTATGAACTATGCACCAATCATATAGCTTGCATTTGTGTGATATGAGTACAATATTGAAGTTTAAGCTACTTTTATATATGCTTTCCTTTCATAGTCCTAAAATTAAAAAACAAAAAATTCCATCGTTACTGTAGTCAACAAAAAAATATGGAAAATAATTTTTCATCACAATAAACAAAAAGAATTTTTTTTTTAAATAGCATTCCCATTAGAAAATAATTTTTCCTTTCTTTTTGTTTTTTTGTCTTAAAATACAAGTAAATAAAAAAAAATTAAAAGTTGAACAAAATCATATCCTTATGCAATCATGACTTCATGATCCTTATTTAAATAAAAGAAAATAATTTTCAATTATCTCCGTTATAATCCTTCTCTATATATTTTATATATTTTTTTTTGGTTCAGTCTTCAAAATCTCACCAAAAAAATCCCAATATGGAAAATATAAACAAAAATATTTTTCTCTTATAAATACTATTATCACCTTTTACAAAAACAATATCCCTAAAAATAATTCAAAGTTATTTTGTAAATTTGTGCGTATGTATGAGTGTAACTAGAAAGATGATACACACATACATGTACACTCAAATTGTATTCGTATATATTTATGTTTGGAATATGTTATAAAAATTAATACCTTTACGTTTTCCAGGATTCTCTAAGTCATCATTATTAGATGGATCAACATTCTTTGTCCTATGATGATATTCTTCAGTTGTTGTAGTTTTAATCCTCTTTTTACCTAAAAATAGATTAAAAATGAAAATAAAACAAATAGAATTTTTGAATTTTTTTTGTTTTGTTTTTTTTTTTAAGTAATTTTTTCCAATTTTGCTTTTACAATATAAAACAGTGTATGAAGTCACTAAAAGAATTTTACAATATCTTATTTAGACGAAACTTATGTTAGAAATTTGAATAATTTTACAATAGTCAGAAAATTTGCTTAGTTCTATAACAGTTCTAAATTTTGCGAAATTCTACAATAGCGCGAAATTTCGAACCATTCTACAATAGTCAATAATTTTGTGTAACTCAACAATAGGCAGACATTTCGAGCAATTTTATAATAGTCCGGAATTTCGATATTGAAGTTTAACCTGCTATTCTCGAATATTTCATAATTTCGTGCCATTTTAAAAAAGTCCGAAATTTCGCGCAGTTCTAAAATAACCGGAAAAAAAACTGGATTTCCTTCAATTAGTTTAAAAATTATTAAAATTCTTTGAGTATATCACTGAAACAGCTGTCAATGGAAGTGTGCTAGTATTTCATAATAAGATATTTAGCAAGGGGCCATAGCTATAATGTACATTATGGAATACAGCTATAATGTTATTGAATAAAATTCCTCGCACACCGCACTGATTGAACAACAAATTATACTTTGAGTCTCAAATAAACAAAGAATTATTTTATGAATAAAGAAACTCCTTTTCCTTCACATTTGAAATACTCTGTATGAATATATGTATGTTTTAATTTAGAGAAATATGTTTATAATTTCTACAAGATATACAAACGTACGTATTACTACTATCCAAAATAAAAATGACAAAAAGGATATTATAAATTTTTTGAATCAAAATATTAAGAGATAGCAAAATTTGAGTAAATACAGAAATCACTTTAACTTTGAAATGATTTCAGACCATCAGAAATTAAGCAGGCAAAGGACTTATGTATTTCATTGGTATTTTTCTCTTCTATTTGTAGTGTATTATCAGGATTATGCCATTTATTTTTCTTTAGGATGAAAATTTTCGTTTTTAGTTTTTTGTTTTGAAAAATAATCTTAATGAAGTGTTTCCTGAATTTATTATTTTCTCTTCTCTATATATAAGAGGCGAAATAATCACGTGTTTGAAAAATAAAGTAATAGTAATAGTCAATAAAAGTTGAAGAATTCTGCTGTTAAACAATTATAAAATATGATTGTCATTTTTTAAATACCTTTTGAAATTTGCGAAACAAAAGTTATGTCAAAGTACCTTTGAAAATGTAATCAGCGTAAAAGACGTATTGAAAACATTGAAGAAAATGAGAACGCAAGTGAATGCAACAGAATTAAATTCTCATTTAAGAGAGTAAAGGAAAATATTAAAATATGGCTGCCTGCATTCCGGACAGACAAGTTTTTTTTATTTCGTATACGGTTTTCATGTAAATTGAATTCCAGACAGACCTTCCGAATTGTAGCGATTTCTCAAATAAATTTCGTTCCAGACAAACTTATTTTTACAAAAGTTGTTTCAGGAAAACTTTAATATATACAAGCATTCTCACATTTCATAGCAATTTAGTAATTTATTCCAAGATTCATTAGAATTCAGAAATCATCGAAATATCATTTGAATAATGAAGTAAAATATTTTAAATAATTCTTACCCTTTTTTGGACCATCATGACCATCCAATGAATTAACAGTGCTAACTGGAATTCCTATAAAAAAAAATACAATATTAATTTTATCATTCTGTTCTTTTCTGATATTACTTTTGCTATTCTCTTATTTTTTTGCAAATACCTATAACAAAATCAAAACTTTAATAGGAAGAGTAAGAAATAATTTGCATTAAAAATTTCGAAAAAATTTTGCCTTCCCAACTCCAACACTCTTTAATATAATTACAAATATTTAACTGTTTTCGGTTCATTAGAGACTGCTCCATATACCATTCAAATAGAAAATTTTGTACCCCTACTATTTCATCCATTTTTTATTTTAAATAGAGTGTTATACACTATTCTTTTACTCCACTCAAAATTAAGCAAAACGATTATAAAACATTGTAAAATTTTCTTTTCTATACTCATTTTCTCCAATACCTTCATTTTAAATTTTTTTGGCATCAAATTGCTCAAAAAAATAAAAATGTTAACTAGGAAACTATCTACTTTATATGTATGTTATGTACTTAGAAAGCTAATAAAATTAATTATTGAAATGGAAATTTTGATATAAAATATTTTGAGTTCAAAGAACAAAAGCAAAAAAATTTTTTTTTTGATCTCTTCATTCGAGAGTAATATGGTTAAAAATGAATCCGACGTGACTATTTAACTTAATTAGGTGAGTTCTTTTTTTAGAATATTAAAAAAATTAAAAAAAGTTTATTCAAAAAATATCAAAGTTTTCACAAGTTAAAGCTGTTAATATTTGAATAAAAAATGGTGCAAAGTGTTCAGTATTGAAAGAAAAAAAGAAGAAAATGAATTTCAATAGTTTAATCATTTTAAATAAAGAAAACTTGGGAATTATGAACTTAGCTACTCTACCTCCACAGGACTATTAAAATGCATTTAAGGACAGCTCAGTTTGTGAAGCAAAAACATAAAGCAAATCTTTTTATACTGAGTACGAGCATATTTAATTAACAAAAGCAGTGTTGTTCCAACCTTCGTTGTTGTTCGAAAGACAATAGCAATTAGCTGTACAGGTATATTCAATTAAACGTACATATGTACAATAGCTTTGCGTTCTCTTATACAATAATATGAATTTTTTTAATTTCGTATAATAAAATGACATTTTCCAATAATGTCAATTAACATTATGTTCAATTTAGAGTGCTGCAAACTATTATTCTATATTTATAACTTGTGTATGTCACATGCTTGACATACCATAGATAATTCCGATTTGCGATTACCCCTGTAGCAATTATATAATACTGTTCTTCATGTTATATTTATAATTATTAAATAAGTAAAGTGTCAAACCACATATAACTATTTTAATTTTAATTTAAAACCGAAAAAAAGTTAAAACGAAATAATCCTCATTTGACTGAATTTTACAATAAAATAAATTTTTTCCTAATCACCAAATGAATAAGAATTCAAAATTATTATAATAATAATTATCTTAATTTGACACAAATTGTCATATCATTAAAATTAAAAGTTCATTACAAATTACTAAAAAAATGTTCTCAAATCCAAAGTGAATTTATATCCCCTAAAATTAACCGCAATGTAATAATTTTTTATATCATAAATGCTTATAGCTTTTGTACTCAATCTAAAAAAAAAGTAGCATAAAAAATTGAATTCTCTACCACACGAAAAATAAATTTTTAATGACATTTTTATGAATATTACTAGAATTTCTATATGCACAATTATTATAGATAGCGCTATCATCCGTATAAGTGACATAACTATGTACATACTATCAAAAAACAAAAAAAAAACAAGTACTATGTGTAATATGTGCACACTTTTCATATTCTAATTAGCTAAGATTCACACCTACTTTATTCATTATTATTGTAACATTTGTAATAATAATTATTACATTTTGAATAATAGTGTCATTGTTATACATATAATATATTAAGTATTCATAAAATAATTTTTTTTAAAAAAGTAATATAAATGCTATCAAAGCGAAACATAATTATAAAAGAATACTAAAAATGTATACAAAATAGGTAGAGTATAACAAGAATTTAAATACGTATAACGCAATGTACTACAGTAGTAACCAAAAAAAAAAGGAAAAGGGATCATTTAATATTGTGTCAACATTAATAACTCCCCCACCTTCATTTTCTTGCCAATGATTATACTCCACTTCACACTTTTTTAATTTTGTAAAGCAACACTTGTAAATAAATAATATTTCAATTGATGTACAAAATGCCATGTTTTATAAGTGTTATACAACTATACGTATGTATATGTTAATGTGTATAAAATTTATTTTATTTACATTTTAATATTATGTTAATTATACGTTTATATTAAATAAAATAACAAAATAAAAAATATATGTATATGTGCACTTAACATTTATTCGAAAAATATTTGTCATATCATTATTTCACACACATGAATATATGCACATAATTTGATATACTTGTATAACACTCAACGACGTCGTACCAACTATTTGACAAAATAAACATTTTATTTGCAAAAAAATGGTTTTTAACATTTCTTATGCCAGTGTGATATCAATATTGTCAAGATTATTTTTTATTTTAAACTTAATGACTTAACAATACTGCAAAGATAGTCTGGATAATAAAAATATAAGTGAATAAATTGCATATACGTCATAAAAACTATAGCATGGGGCTTGGAGGTATTCATGATCACAAGATCGATTATTTTGTCACACTTTTTAATGAAACTTTTGAAATTATATTACATAAAATAATTTAAATATTAGTCAAAAAGATTTGGCCTGGGTCAGAAACAACTAATAAATAAGTATACCTTGTCATATTTGAATATTTTTGAGTCGAACGCTTTGCGAATTATCTTAAGTCTCATTCAGCTCTAACTTGAGATTCCTTGATAAAATACTATTAGCCTTACGCAAGGTAATAGCACTATATCATATTGAATTGATATTTCCACGAGCTAGAGTTTCACAAACAGCTCGGCCATATTTATACGGTACTGTACTTTATGGAAATGGGTGTACTAGAAACCCCATCTAACAGTTGCTCTTTTTATATCTTTATTAAGTAGTGTTTTTATGAAATGGAATTGTCAAAGTAATGATGCTCATATATTCCGCCAAAAACAAATATATACACACAAATATGCATACTTATATCTAACGTAAACAAATAAAGAATACTGTTTATTCATTAAAAGAGGATATTATGGTATTTATTTTATTTTTTCAAGATTTTCTATGTAAACTTTTAATAAAAAGGATGAATAGATTTTTTGTTTTTTATTTTAATTAAATAAAAAACAATATTTATAAGTAATATCCCTGAATTATTTTCAATATATAAAAGAAAATAGCTACTCAGTTTTGTTTCAAATAACCACTCTTTTAATAATATAAACTTGTGGACAATATGAAAAATTATAATTGAAAAATTTATTGAAACAACCTTTTTTTTTCTGATAAGTACCGTTAATAACATAGAAAGTTCTTCATTTCCATGATCCTTACATACTCAGTTTGAAAAATTCTTGGATTAGTAGTAGTTGTAGTAAGGCCACCTACGCGAAGCCCTTGCACTAAGCCAACAAGAAAGCCCATCGTCAACCCTAAGATTAACACCCCACAACCTCCATAAAAAGAACATGTTCCACATCCTCCATCTCCGCGATGTACTCACATTCCCTACAGACATCCGCCATAGCGGCTCCAAGCCTCTTGCCCACTCTTCTCAACAGACAATGCCCCGTCAAAACCCTTATCAGAATGCTGATATCATCCATACCGTATCCCAAAAACGTTTCGTACTCTCCTCATCCCTACAAAACCAAATCTCTCTTAACATATGAATCCGCCCACAAGACTTCACCTCTCTTTTTAGTTTCCTAATCTATGATGTCAATAAACTCCTTCAGCTGCAAGCTTCATCATTTCTGTAGCCGGGAATTCAATACACAAAAGTTATATGTGCAGAAAAGCCGGGAACCCTGTACATACCACAAATGGCTTACTGCTATGTGGCTCACTGCCAACTATAAATAATTATAATTAATAAAGTGTTATCTACTTACTATATAATTTTATGGTTCCATCTGTATCGCCTAATGAATTCTTTGCAACACATCGGTATGATCCCAATTCATGTTGTGTTATTGGCGCTATAAAAAGTCTCATTGTTACTCGGTAATCACTATGTTCAGTTATATTTGTTGTAAATTGACCACCTAAAAAAATTTTTTTAGTTTTATTGTATGAGTTTAAATTTTAATCGAGCAGTGAGTTCAACTAGGTAGTCACATAAAAAATTGAAATTGATAATTATTGTTATGTCCTTTTATTTGTACAAAAAATTGTGTGGTTCGAATATCACAAACATTTTGAAAAATAAATTAAAAGAAAACCCTAAATTTTCGTTAAATATTTCCTATAATTTCGGCAGGCCGAACTGCTGAACATCATAGTTTCGGCAGGAGTTTTGCTACTGATAGAGGCTATAACTATTTCTATTAATTCTATTTTAATTACTCAAATGTACCTATGAATTTTTAAAATATTTAAAGTCACGTTTTGTTAATAAATTTTTAAGAATTTTCGCTGGTACAAATTAAATCGTACTAAGGCAAGAATTCCATTTTGCTCAACAAATCAAAAGGATATTTTCATCAGATATTTCTAATATTTATTTATCTTATATGAAAAGCATACATTCAGGCACGTTACGTTCTAACAAAAAAAAGTAATGTTACTTTGTTTTTTTGCAAGTAACTAACAAAAAGAAAATATAAGATAACCATTTGAATAATCCTAAAATCCTGTAAATAACTTGAAAAATTCCGTGAATTATTGACTATTGGAAAATTGCATAATTGCAAAACTTCGATGATTTCTTTTTTATCCTTTCTGTTCAGAGTTGATAGCCGAAACAAAATCAAATGGATTTAATTGCTAAGTAAAGTATTTGAATTCCATTTTAAATCCAAATCCTGGAGCAATAATTCATTAAACAATTTTTAAACTTTTGACCGTTTGTAAATCTTTTTGATATCATAAGGTTATATGTCATAAATATTATAGGATATAAGTCAATATTGGTAGTACAAATAATCAATGAATTTCTTACCTGGTGGTACAATTTCACCTTTTTCTCTTGTCCAGTAATTTATTGATTTTGGAAATGCTTCAGATTGGCATTCTAACATTGTTTGTTTACCTTCGACAGCTCCAATTAATTGATTTTGAACAAATATCATCGGAGGAACTATTTACAAGAAAAATAAAAGAAAATATATTGCGCTTATTGAATACAGAGTATTTTAAATGTTAATAAAATATAATTGGATTATAGTTTCAAATATTCTCCTACAAATCATAATAAAATATAAGTAGTTGTTTGATAATAACGTCTGGGCACAGCGGAGAATGAAATCTGCCGCCTTTTTCTCGAAGAAAACGAAACGATTCGTGGGGAGCTTTGTGACCCAAGCGGAAGTCTAAAGATTTGACATGATTGCAGTACTGCAATTTATCAAGAGCTAGGGTATAGAGTCAATGTAAGCGGAGATGAGAATCGCAAGAGATGTTATTGGACGATGTGAGAGAGACCCGGTCTCTCTAGCCGAAAAAAAATATATGATAATATTTCCGTAATATCGTAAAATATAATTTTTAAAACAGTTACGCTAAATGTCTTCAGCAACATGGAAGAGAGTAGGTTAATATTTGATTAATTGGTGAAAGTCAGGTCAAACGGCAATATCTGCGTTGTAAGTGAAACAACAGTATCATTAACTGAAGTGTAATGTAATTGTTTCATTAATAGAACACTTTGGAGCAACACGACAAAGAAGTTGTCTAGAAAAAACTAGACTTCCGTCGTACAAGGGATTTGACACGTCTTCGAAGAGGGAATATCGACGCTGTAATTAGGGTTTTAACCGGACACTGTCTGATTAACGAACATGCCAGGAGGGTGGGCCGCACCACAAACGATCCTGTGACAAGGAGGAGGAGGAAAAGTGACCCACTTGCCGTGCTTATATCAGGTATTGGCCAAATCCAGATAGAACTGTACCTCAACCTAACATAATCCAATCTAAACTGCATATCACATTTAAATATGATGTATATGTATTTGCAATATACAATATTTTTAGAAAAATTTACTATAAAAACAGTATTTTTCAATATTTAGTTTTACTTCACATTATGTAGTTACTAGTTAAGCAAAGTTGCTACCAGCTATATTAACTCAAAAATAATATAAAGAATTTTAAATATTTGAAATGAAATATTTTTCATATTTCCGCAAAATAAAATAAAATAATCGTCATCCTAAAGTGTAATTAATTTTAAAAATTAAAAGTAAATTATTTTAAGAACAAAAAATCTACAATATTTTTAATTTTTTACTTATTTTCTTCACAGTTAAAATACTTACAATGTACAATTAGTATTATCCTTTTACTAACTGATGGTGGTACACCATTTGATGCAATACATAAATATGCGCCCATATGTTGTCTTTTTACTCTTGGTATCACTAAATATGGTCCTTCAACGCTTGAAACTTGAATTTTCATTTTAACGATATATTATAGTTCATTCCAGTAGTTATTTCATAACAGTATATTTGTAAGAAGGTATATAGGTACATAAGAAATAAAAAATTCAAAAAATAAATATCGTTGTAATGTAAAAAATCCATTTATTCAATCATATATGTATGTATAATAAAAAGGATGTGTTCATAAAAGAATAAAAGAAAATATTATTGCAGGATTTTTTATTTTGGATTTCCCACCGAAAGTTTTGTTCAATTATCATTTAGTACCAAAAAATTTGTGGCCAAATTGAAGATATCCGGAAGCGGTAAAATAAGTAAATAGTGATGAATAATGAAATGAAAGAAAAAAATTATTATTACTCGAGTCACCATACATCCTCAAAGAGTGAAAGAGAGAGAGAGAGAGAGAGAGAGTGAGAAAAGTAGCCATAATATACTTCACAATACTCAGTGAATACCGTAAAAATTATAGCATGACTATAAAAACGAAAAAAAAACTAGAAACCTAAAACTATTTTGATTTAATTTGAAATGACGACAGACCAAACCGAACAAAAAAGACAAACACACAAAAAAAAAATTTGTTTTTCTTTTTGTTATGCCAAATGTGCACCTGTTTATTGCTACACACGTAACAGTATAGCTTTTTCATTAACAGAAAAAAAAATTCAATTTCTGAATAGATTTTTGACATTTCATTTCAACTCGTTCTGAATGACCTTAGATGCAGATATCGTCCTTTAGGTCAAAAATTATATAACTGTACTTTATTTTTTTTCTTTTTCACCCACAAATTTTATTTTTTTTTTGAAATTTGAAAATTCAATTAACTAATCAAATTTTTTTTTTACAGTCACTCACTATTTAATGTTTGTACATATGTGGCTAGTCACAGAAATATTTTTTTTTCTGTGAATACTCGTATTAAAATTATATTATTGGTGTTGCATAATTTTTATTATGATAAAATGATAAATTATTAGGTTTGCTTTACTCCTTTGAATTCAACTTTAATATTATATGGTGGTACGAGAAGTACTAATTAATAAAATTAATTTTGAATATGTAAACTAAATGTTTTCTTAATAAAAACAGGGGCCCAAAACCGCACTGTCACCTCCTAGTGGTGGGCCCCGGTAATGGCGGAGGATAAAGGGGTGATTGAAAGGATCAAAGTTACGTTTGTGTCGTGGTCATGTCTCGCGGCGAGCCTCTTACTTTGTGAGTTTCAGCCCTATATCTATACGTCAGCTGACGACAGGCGTCCCAAGTCAAGGTGAAACAGCATATGTCGATGACTGCGTGGCTAAGTGGGAGCTTAGTCGTCAGTATGGGGACTCTGGATACCAAGCGCCCTCCAGTTTAAACGAGCCTTCCCATGGTATGCCGGGCTCTGCCATGGGTGACTTTACTTTCCCGCGCTATTCGTGGGACCAAAATGGAGAACATAAACAATAATAACAAAAACAGCAACAACAAGAACAACAACTGTGACAAACACAACAACTGCAACAACAACAACAATAACAACAGTGACAATTACAACAACAACAACAATACTAAGGACAACATTAATACAAACCCAGTTAGTGCTCAAGGGTCTTCGGAACCAGAGCTTCTCTCGACTGACGCAGAGGAGGAACTCCTTCTCACGCCAGTAGAGGAAAAGGCGGCGCCTCCGATGGAGACGGATAATCAGGATCCTCTTGGACCTATTATCCAACAAACTGAGGAGGACCTGAAAAGGTTGGACATCAGGGGAAGAAAACAATATTTCTCTGGTGCATCCAAGCAGCGTATAGCGGCTTATATCAGGGATGGCATGTCCCCAGAGGAAGCTCGCAGATATGAGAAAGAAAGGCTAGAAAAGCTGAGGGCCTGCGGATCGGGTGTTGTGGCCGACCATCCCCAGAAGAGGGAAAGGTCGGAAAGCAACACCCCTGATGCAGGGCCCTCAAAAAAGAGGTCGATGAAGGGCAATGTTGAGGAAAAGGTCCCTGGGAACATTCCTCAACAAAATCCGAAAATGACTTCTTATCGGGATGCAGTAGCACAGGTCAAGATGGCCATCACTCACAAACTGCATCCAGAGGAAAGGCTATCCGAAGTTCGGATGGGGAAAATCAAAGTAGCCATCATGGATGAAATGGATAAAGTTGTGGACTCTCATCCACTATTCACTGCAGCGTTGCAAAGGGACGAATGGATATCCGTAACATACAACAATCAAAACACCAGGGAGTGGATAACCAGTGTCTGTAGGAAGATAAAGCCTTGGGACGGTTGCAACGTCGTGGTACTGGATGGCGACGACATGCCCAAACAGCATGTCTGGGTCACCTACGTACCAAAGGACGAGACAACCGTCAGTCTCTCCAGGGATAAGGAAGCAAAATCCCAGCCTCAAGATAAGTTCCTGGAGGATGCTGAGGGTGGATAATGATAAGGACGGGGGCTGCTCCATCACCTTTTCAGTGGATGATTCCGGATTGAAAGATCTACGGAAAGCGGAGTTCCGACTTTTCCTGAATTTCTTCCGTGTTACCGTTCGGGTTAAAGGAAGAAAATCCTCTCAAGGTGCTGGCGGCAGGGCAGGACAAAATAAAAAACCAATGCCCACCGCGACAACGACGAGCACTTCAGGCCAACCAAAAGAGTCAAAACTCATTGGAAAGTCTGAAGTCGCTCCGAAAATGGCAGCAAGGGAAACGGAAAGACCATCGACCAGCACGCCAAATACAAGCGGCTCGGCTGAACCAAAAGGGCTCAAGCCCATTGGGAAGCCCGGAATTGCTTCGGTATTTGCTGTTGGAGGGGCTAGTGTGGCACCTGGGACGGCAAAAGAGGCTGTGGCAGGGCAGGCGCCCACCAAGATGTGTAAAAAGGCGGCAATGGGAAGCAAGGCTCATGTAAAGTCTTTGTCTAAAGGGCCAAAGCCCATAGACAAGAGCCGGATCAAATGATATAGCTGTGAGGTGCATCCAAATAAATCTACAGCATGCTAGGGCATCTACTTATGTTCTAGCTCATAGATTTATGAAGGATTACCTCGATATTGCTCTTATCCAAGAGCCTTACATAGTGAAGGATCAGGTTAAGGGCCTAACAGGTGAGCTATTGTATGATAATACAATTGGGGGCAGGCCTAGAACTTGCATTTTGTTTAGTAAAAGGCTAACGTATTTTCCCATTCCAGATTACTGTTCTAAGGATCAGGCAGCTGCGTTGGTGAAGGTGAAGTCCTCCGGGGACTGAACAGAGTTCATTGTGTGCTCATCCTACCTCTCGGGGGACTGTGCCCACCCGGACGAGCAACTGAGGGATCTAGTGGACTTTTGTGGAAGGAGGAACTTCCAACTTATAATAGGAAGTGATGCCAATGCCCACCTCACCGTCTGGGGAAGTAGTAATATAAACAAAAGAGGTGAGTGCCTACTTGAATTTATATATAGCAATAAATTAATGGTTATGAATGAGGGCAATAGGCCGACATTCATAAATGCAATTAGAGAAGAGACTCTTGACATCACCCTTTGCACTGAATTTATCGGCAGTAGGGTTGGTGGATGGCATGTCTCAAATGAGACATCTATGTCGGATCATAGGCAGATTAGGTTTGATATCATGGTCTTCGGGGGCCTGGCAGCAGAAATGTATCGGGAACCCCAATCCACAGATTGGAGTCAATTCGAAACGCTTCTCAAGGATGGGATCGGATACGTCCTGTCAGAACGGTGATGGATATCGAACTGGCCAGCGAGGCTCTGACGGCGGCTATTATTAATGCCTACCATGGGAGCTGCCGCGCTAAGCCGAGGCGGAGCAATAGGAACTGCCCGTGGTGGAATGAAGAGCTTTCAAGGCTTAGACTAAAGACCAGAAAGCTATTCAATAAGGCCAAGGCGTCGGGTTCGTGGGAAGAGTATAAAGACTCACTCACAAAATACAATAAAGAAATTAGGAAAGCGAAGAGAATCTCGTGGAGAGCGTTCTGCAAGGGCATTGATGAACTCTCCAGCAGTGCGCGTTTTCACAGGGTGCTTTCCAAAAAGTATGCGGGTTGGGCCTAATGGAACGGCCTGATGGCTCCACAACTGAGAAGGGAAAGCAGACGTTGGAGCTTATGGCGTCGATGCACTTTCCTGACTCGGAGATTCTTTGGAATCACTCAATTGCGGTCATTGAACCGAGGGCATCCTGGCCCAGGAGGGATGACTGGCAACGATCCCGTCTGATCTTACGATGGGCAGGATTAGATGGGCTGTTTTCTCTTTCAGGCCCTTCAAATCTCCAGGTGATGACGGGATATATCTTGCATTTTTGCAAAGGCGTTTCCAACATATCGCCAGAGCACTGTTGAATATTTTTCGTGCCAGCTATGCGTGGGGTTACATCCCTCAGGAATGGAGGGTGGCTAAAGTGATGTATATTCCGAAGGTGGGTAAGCGACCAAGCCTTACTTCTTTTCTATTGAAAGCAATGGAAAAAGTGATTGATAGATTTATACTGGACGATGCACTGGGAAGCAATCCCTTGCATGAATCTCAGTACGCCTATCAATCGGGAAGGTCTACTGTACTCGCTCTGCTGAGTCTGGTGGGGGTCCTTGAAAACTCACTGGAGGTGCGGGAGGTGGCAGTTGGCTGCTTCCTTGATAAAGAGGGAGCTTCTGACAACACCCCATATGCATGCTACAGGATAGGATTATTAAGTCCACCATAGCTGAGGATATACTCTTCATCTCCGCCGCAAAAGGATGTCCGCAGGGCGGGGTTCTTTCGCCCCTCCTGTGGTCCATTATAGCGGATGATCTAATTGCTGCTCTCAGGGGCTCCGGGGCTGTCTGGGGATTAACGAGCCCAATTCTGTTTGGTGAACGTATTAGTTACTCTAGGGAGGTGAAGTATCTGGGAGTAACCCTGGATGATCGTCTCTCTTGGAATACCCATACAGATAGAGTTATCGGGAGAGCTACGGCGGCCTTGTGGACGTGTAGGAGCTTC